ATGCCCATACGTACGCAGCGGCGTACGACGACTATTAGGCTTCGTTTGGTGCGCAAAACGTGTTTTGTGTTTTTCCGGTTGCCGCAAAAGCAGATGCAGAAACTACGAAAACACGTTTTTCCAAAAACGCGCGCGTTTGGTGAGCTCGTTTTACGTTATTTCCTCAAGAATGATATCTTGCAGTAGCCAATGGGAAGGTAAGTACCCGTGTGACTAACGAGTTGGCAACGTCAGACGAAGTCGGCACCAATACGAGGGTCTGCGCTCGACTACGAATGGGCTCAAGAGGGCTGGTAGTTCTTCGATGGCTGTAGAGGCAAGAAACGCCGCCAAGTACAAGCGCAATGGAGTTTAACGTCCATAAAACAGCGTGGACGATGTGAGCACCCATTTGATGAACTCCAACGAATTCCCAAAATACCCCTTGCCCTTCCCAAAAACAGCTCCGGAGGTGTTTTTGGAAAACACGTTTTGGGCCCCGATTTTGGCCAAAACGCGTTTCACAAAAAAACGTGTTTTGGTCAACCAAACGCGCAACAAACGTGTTTTGCGGATTTGGTGCATAAAAACGCGCGCGACCGCCAGATGCATGACAAAACACGTTTTGGAGGCGAAAACGAGGAGCACCAAACGGGGCCTTAGCAGAGATCACTGTTATGGCACGAGATGAATCGCACAATTCAAAGCCATATTTCGATTTTGCTTGGTATGTACCTACCTGGGTCACTGGATCAAGTCGTGCAACGTGCAATACGACGTGGCAGCGTGGTCTTTCAAGGAAGCTCGCACCGTCGAATCGCATTATTATGTAGATGAATTACTTGCTGTTTGTGTTTAATAATATACTTTCATCTAACTATTCTATTGGCTATTTTTCGAATCATTTGGGCCAATCCTGTGCGATGTGTTTTGCCGCATTCGTGAACGGAGGCTGGTCGGGCGGCCGAGCGACATTCAAAATGGAATCGCTAATACTGAAAGGGACATTAGATGGCGGCTTAGAGAGCATAAGGCGCTACGTCACTCCGACGTTTGAGATCTACAGTGTGCGCAATAGGACTATCTGTTAATTGTGTTACACGCCATATTTATCCATATAATAGCCACATATACCCATATTTAATCGGTTGCTTCTGCATGCTCGCAACTTGTAAGCCACACCTCTTCACCGAGAGCTCGAGTGAGTGCTGGGCGACCCGTCGGTCCGCGTGGCGGCCTAATCTAGCACATACCAATACCCACTCAAGCTCCTACAACAAGCAAGCGACACGTTGTCTCGAATCAACGTGTACACACTCTCGTCGCCCCACCAGAGAAGACATTCGTTATCGAGGTATGCCTTGTTTGCCGGCGCGGAAGACAGACAGTACCAAGCCATCGCTTTTGGCAGCCGTTATGGAGAGAGGCTCGTCGCCTTCTTCCGAGCCAGTAGCTCGTTTCTACAGCCCGCCACAACCCAAAGACTTGGCCTTTCAAAAAACGTATCACAAGGGTCCCACGTTGGCAGATCATACACCTGGTAGCATAGACGGCTGCACACGTCAGTCACGAGCCACCCGTTTGATTCGATTCTTAATGGCTTGCGCGACTCTGTGCATAGATGGAGCGATGCGTGGCAAAGCCTGCAGCCTTGAAGAAGCTTCAACGACTCACGCTCAGCGCGTTGTGGCTTGCAGGCGTGGGCCTTAAACCTTTCCTCGTACTTGAAGCTCTCGTTCTATCTGGACTTGAATATTTGCAAGGCTCGTGGTAATACCATCCTCTCTTACGGCCTGCGATCGCGGCAGGCGAAGATCGCTGCATGGCCACGCGCTGCCGTTGGTTTTCAAAACGAACCAATCATCGATCGGGTGTCAAACCTTAGCCAATCAAAATACGTTGCGTCACACGGCGTGGCGAGATGATGCCACGCACGCAAAGTGTTTAAAACGTGGTCGTTGCCGTCAGGGTCAAGCTCCATTTTTGTTTTATACAATTTAAATACAAATTATAAGATGTTGAGTTGTGTTTAAATCATGGATTGGCCGTTTCCGGCGGTATCCGGATGATCCAAGATCTACAAACCACTGGAGTTGGGATTCTTAGTTTGGCTTTCGAAGTTCAGCGAAGACAAGCAGCAGCATGGCCCCGCAGACGGAGCTCCGCCAGCGCCACGCCGCCGTCGACGAGACGCCGGTGGCCGGCAAGAAGGCCTTTACATGGCAGGAGGTTGCGCAGCACAACACGGCGACCTCGGCCTGGATCATCATCCGCGGCAAGGTCTACGACGTGACCGAGTGGGCCAACAAGCACCCCGGCGGCCGCGAGATGGTGTTGCTGCACGCCGGTCGCGAGGCCACCGACACGTTCGACTCGTACCACCCGTTCAGCGACAAAGCCGAGTCGATCTTGAACAAGTATGAGATTGGCACGTTCACGGGCCCGACCGAGTTTCCGACCTTCAAGCCGGACACGGGCTTCTACAAGGAGTGCCGCAAGCGCGTTGGCGAGTACTTCAAGAAGAACAACCTCCACCCGCAGGACGGCTTCCCCGGCCTCTGGCGCATGATGGTCGTGTTTGCGGTCGCCGGCCTCGCCTTGTACGGCATGCATTTTTCGACCATCTTTGCGCTGCAGCTCGCGGCCGCGGCGCTCTTCGGCGTCTGCCAGGCGCTGCCGCTGCTCCACGTCATGCACGACTCGTCGCACGCGTCGTACACCAACATGCCGTTCTTCCATTACGTCGTCGGCCGCTTCGCCATGGACTGGTTCGCCGGCGGCTCGATGGTGTCGTGGCTCAACCAGCACGTCGTGGGCCACCACATCTACACGAACGTTGCGGGCTCGGACCCGGATCTCCCGGTCAACATGGACGGCGACATCCGCCGCATCGTGAACCGCCAGGTGTTCCAGCCCATGTACGCGTTCCAGCACATCTACCTTCCGCCGCTCTACGGCGTGCTTGGCCTCAAGTTCCGCATCCAGGACTTCACCGACACGTTTGGCTCGCACACGAACGGCCCGATCCGCGTCAACCCGCACGCGCTCTCGACGTGGATGGCCATGATCAGCTCCAAGTCGTTCTGGGCCTTCTACCGCGTGTACCTTCCGCTTGCCGTGCTCCAGATGCCCATCAAGACGTACCTCGCGATCTTCTTCCTCGCCGAGTTTGTTACCGGCTGGTACCTCGCGTTCAACTTCCAAGTTAGCCACGTCTCGACCGAGTGCGGCTACCCGTGCGGCGATGAGGCCAAGATGGCGCTCCAGGACGAGTGGGCCGTCTCGCAGGTCAAGACGTCGGTCGACTACGCCCATGGCTCGTGGATGACGACGTTCCTTGCCGGCGCGCTCAACTACCAGGTCGTGCACCACTTGTTCCCGAGCGTCTCGCAGTACCACTACCCGGCGATCGCGCCCATCATCGTCGACGTCTGCAAGGAGTACAACATCAAGTACGCCATCTTGCCGGACTTTACGTCGGCGTTCGTTGCCCACTTGAAGCACCTCCGCAACATGGGCCAGCAGGGCATCGCCGCCACGATCCACATGGGCTAAACCTCCGTCGTCGACACACTTTGTGAATGCGAGATGTTGAGTTTCGCCATCAATATGCTGTTGTTTGCGAGTTCATGCAGTAGGAGCGCTGTAGTTTATGGCAGTGTATCGAGCCAGAATCTTGAGGGCAAGTCGTGCTAGCCGCCGACATTCGATGGTCCTCGGCTTATGAGGCATGCTGCTTCGATCCAAAGCCACGAGACGCGTGCGGACAGCAGGTGCCACGCCGACTTTCACAGAACCCATCGCCCAAGGGTGCGACGCCGACGGGGACCTCTCAGTTCTGCGTGTGTTATTTGTTATTTGGTTGCCAACGCAAGCATAGCAGCTCGGTCCGCGCCATGTCGGGACTCTTGACATCGCCTCGAGGAGCCGCGGTGGCGTCGCAGTTGTCGACCCATCATCTCGCGTGGCTTGTGTGGGCGAGTGCTCGAAAACAGATGCTACTCAAGCGCCCGGCGTCAAGATCGCGCCCACGGACCCTCGTCATCGCCGCCTTGGCGCGCGGCAGCTGCGCAGCGTGTATCCACACCACGCATCCACTACCCGAGTGCTACAGTACGCACGCTCCTCTGTCAGCTACCGCTCCTCTGCTTCACGTTCTCTCCTCCTCAGCGCTCCTTCTCAGTTCTTATTCCCCACACCACGACCAGTGCCGACCACATCTGTGGCTCATGCGCCAAGCAGCCAAGAGCGCCAAGACTGGCGTGGCCGTGGTCAACGTCTAGCGTCAACAGGACTGCGTACCGGTACACGATTGAAGTGTTGGGTACGGCAGTCGACCTTGGTCACTTGGTTGCGTACCAAGCAATTGCTTGCGTGCGCTCCATGCAGCAGCAACCTGGTTCGCCTGCACTTCACCTGCAATTCGCTTACTTGAGACCAATTGACGTCGGCCCGCGCGAGACAGGCCGCCCCCAGCGTCGGACACGCACGTTGTAAGCGAATTGCATCTGCGACCAGCGGCAGCTGCGCTGGCAGATGCCGAAAATAAACCAAACGCACCAATCAGACGCCCACCTTCTGTCATGAATTCGGCACGGGACGATCGCAAGGTTGTGTCAGTTGTGAATTTGCCGCCTCCTTGCTCAATATGATGGCCCGCTCCATGACCTACTTTGCGGCCGCTGCGCTCTGCGTCGCGCTTGTCGCTGCCGACTCTGCCACGACGGCGCCCGTCAACCAAGTGCAGAAGGTGCTCAACACCTCGGGCTCGCAAGTCATTGACACGCTCTCGGGCGGCGACTCGGCGACCGCCTCGGCGCTCAAGGGCATCTTTGCCGCGGTCGCGCTCATTGCGTCGCTCGGCGTCACCTTTGTCGGCTACAAGATGATCTACCCGGTGCTCTTTGCGGCCTCGTTCTTCTTTGGCGCGTGCTTCTCGTACGACGTGCTCCTCCAGCTCTTTGCCAACCAGAACGCGGCGTACGTCGGCTTTGTCATTGGCGGTATCCTCGCGGCGGTCCTCGTCCTCTACTTTTACGACGTTGGTATCTTTGCGATCGGCGCGGTCGCCGGTGCGATGGGCGGCTTCATCTTTGACGCGTCGTTCACGGCCAGCCTCGGCGGCGAGAACCACTTGTATGTCCACTACGCGATTGTGATCATTACGGCGATTGCCGGCGGTGTCGCGGCGCTCAAGCTCGAGAAGACGGCGCTTGTCATTGCGACGTCGTTTGCCGGCGCGGCCATCTTTGTCGGCGCGCTCGGCCACTTTATCGGCGGGTACCCGACCGGCGACCAGCTCACCAACATCAAGGGCAACGCGTCGTTCATCAACAACGTGCCGTCCTCGTGGTGGGGCTACTTTGCCGCGACGCTCGTGCTCTTTGCCCTCGGCGCCTATGTGCAGTTCTTCCACACGGCCAAGAACGTCAACCACATTGACGGCAACTCGGACGAGAAGAAGCCGCTCCACGGCTACCGCAATGTCTAAGCGCTAAGATCTAAGATCGCCATGTTGCGGTCGATAAGGACATGATGTGTGTGTTGTCCATGCCTACTTTCGTGTCCTGACTGCTGCAGACTACAACCAAATTATTGTTGATGCACCCTGCTAAAGTCAGTAGGCGGTCTCGGTCGTCGCGCCTTAGTGAACCGATGACACATATATGTCAACGTGTATGTTGGAGTAAAACAAAAGGATGTCGTCCTTGGACGCACCACCTTGCGAAACCCTCGCCTCAAAACGAAGCCGGGCGGTCAAATGTTGGGGTAACGTCTGCCGGATCAACGATACTAGTGTCGTCGACAGTCAAGAGTTTGTACTCGCGGATGCCATGGCTTCCGAGATGCGGACAACGAGGATGTTCTGCTCGTACTTGGTAGTCTATCTCGGAGATGACGCAGAGCTCGTAGCCGACTTGGTCCGGCTGCCGTAGCACGTCCTCGACGTCTGACCAGTCCACGGCGTTGATCGGGTGAACGCCGTTTGTCATGTTGGTCACAAACGAGCACTTAAACAACGCGAAATAGAATGCGCAGTGGCGTTAAGCTTCCTACGGGTACAACTTGTAGGAACGTTTGGAATGGTATATGTACGCAAAGTTATGGTCATTCGTTATGCTACAGCGCACCGCCACTACAACGAGCGAGGACAAAGCATGACTCTACACTCGATGTCCTCGACACACGTCGAGCGAGACACTCGGTGGCCGGCCATTGTGCGCTTGCCCATTCTTAGAGCTGATACCATTCGAATGTTGGTTCTAGCCAGCGCTCCCGCGACGATCTTGGCAGCCGACGCCAAGCTGGCAGTCGGCGCTGCCACGTCCAATGCATCCCGTTCCATCTCGCCAACGATTGGCCCATGGTATTGCGTAATGATATTGTTTGCATTTTATTCAACATACAAAACGCAAGTCTACGAGTGTGAATTCCGTGGTATAAAATCAGGTTCTGGAGATTGCACTTTGGCAGCCATGGGCCTCGACATCCAAGTGCTCGGCGTCGGCAGCGCCGAGATGGCGCCGTCCGTCATCGTCACGGGCGAGAGCCAGCGGTACTTGACCATCTTCCTCTTTCCTCTTAGGCCATGCGGTGCTAGGTACCTCTTTAACGCGGGCGAAGGCCTCCAGCGAGTGTGCATGGAGCACCGGGTGCGCCTCGGGAAGCTCCAGACAGTCCTTCTCACGGAGCTCACGTCCGAGACGTTGGGCGGCCTACCTGGCCTCATCTTGACCATCTCGGACATTGGCAAGAAGGGCCTGCGCCTCTGCGGACCCGACGGCACGTCCTCTTTTCTTCACGCGACGCGCCATTTCCTCAACCGGTGGCGTCCTGCGGTTGCACATCCTAGAGTCGTTGGCTCACGATCGTAGTAGGCCCAAGTTTGAGCTGAAAGCACACGACATTGCTTCGGCGAGCGACGCGCCGCTTCTCGCAGACGAGAACATGACGCTGGATGCTGTCGTTGTGACGTCGTCGCGCGCACACACCGACGACGAGAACGCGGCCAAGCGCCAGAAGGTCCCAACGGTCACAAGCGTGAGCTACATTGGCGAGACGCCCCGCCAGCGCGGCAAGTTTTTGATCCAGAAAGCGCTCGCCCTCGGTGTGCCCAAGGGCCCGCTCTGCGGCGCCTTGCACCGCGGTGAAGACGTTACGGTCGTTGTCGACGGCAAGTCGGTGGTCGTGACACCGGCGCAGTGCGTCGAGCCGTCGCTTCCAGGTAGAAATGCATTCGCTAGCCAGCGTCCGAGTGTGCATTCGGCTAGGCGCCGCGTTTGCGGTCGTGGCGTGTCCTGGTGTGTCGTCGATCGCGCCTCTCTTGCAAGCCCGCGCTTTTCACAAGTTCGTGTTCACTTACGAACGTGGCATTTGATGGTATCGGCCATAGGTATCAAGGCGGCGAGACGGACCTCGCTGTGCTCGTGCACATGGGCGGCATGGACGTCGTTTCGCACCCCGACTACATTGCGTGGACGCTGACGTTTGGTCGTCGCGTGCAGCACATTCTGGTTCACTTTGTCGTAGCCACTGCATCTCACACACTTCGTAGGTCAACCACACGGCGTGTCCGCAACGGACGCCGTACCGTGCCAGCGCGGCCCTTCAAGCCACGCTGCATGGTCTCTTTCCTGGCACCTTTCCCCCGTCGCACCACGAAACCAACACCACGACCTCGGTCGACACAGAGTTTGGGGCCGCTATCGTCGGCGTACGTCGCAAGACGCATTTGCCTTTGATGGACACGGAGTTGTAGGAACCGCTGCTCAAGTACACGCTCGTGCCTGTGCCCAAGCAAGGCGTCGATCGCGCGAGCTGCTTTACTCCATTGGACTTGGCCGCGCTCATCGCCGAGACGCAGACGATGCTCCGCGAGGCCAACGTGACTGTGGCGCCGCCGGGCCCAAGCGCCAGTAGTAGCACTGCCTGCGTGCAAGCCGGCGCTGTCACGTTCCTCGGCACGGGCTCGGCGATTCCGTCCAAGTACCGCAACGTCACGTCCAACTTGCTTCGGTTTGGTGACGCGTACCTCTTGTTGGACGCTGGCGAAGGCACGTACGGGCAGCTGTACCGGCACGTTGGTGGTGACGAGGCCGCGCTAAACGCGCTTCTCGCCAACCTCCACGTGGTGTGGATCTCGCACAACCACGCCGACCACCACTTGGGTCTTGTGCGACTCCTCAGTCGTCGTCCGATCGAGGTACAGGGTTCGATCTTCGGCACTTGCAACCGAATGCGTTGTAGTTGGCGCCATTAGCGATCGTGGGCCCGCCGCACGTGCTCAACTGGCTGCGCGACTACGGCGCGGTGGACGCCAGCATCAACGCCAAGTACATGTACGAGAGCAACGGCTTCTTTGACGTCCATGGACCCAGCGCCAAGGACCGTATGTGCACACAGTTGGCACGACCACGCTCAGTTGCATTGCGTGTAGAGGAGCGTTTTGGGTCGAATGAAAAGGCCATTCGCGACATTCTCAAGCAACGGTATGGCGTGACGAGGTATGACGAGTCTCCTTGCACGATACGATACGGCTGGCTCATCGCGCATGTAGCTTTGAGTGCGTGCCGGTCAAGCACTGCCACCTCTCGTATGCGCTCGTGCTCATATGTGCCAACGGGTATGGATACACCTTGGGTGAATGGACTGCAAAGATGGAGCGACGCAGGTTCAAGGTCGCCTTCTCGGGCGACTGCCGCCCGAGCGACGCTCTCGTCCAGTACGCCGAGGACGCCGACTTGCTCATTCACGAAGCCACCTTTGAAGGTATCGATGGACGTGTCCCTGCAGCGGGCGACTGTGGTGTAGAGGGCATGCTGGACGAAGCCAAGGCCAAGGACCATTCGACGACCGACGAAGCGATCGGCGTCGGGCTCAAGGCCAACGCCAAGTACATTCTCTTGACGCATTTTAGGTATGCAGTATTGTATATATACGTGTTGCGCAAACGGCGGTGTACTAGCCAACGCTACCCCAAGATGCCGACGATCTCGGCCGAGGCTTTGCAGCGTGTCATGACGGCGCTCGACCTCATGTCGCTCTCGTTCCACGAGCTCCACGTGCCCCAGCTCATGCAGGTAGGCTCGATGGAGTGTCGATGAGCGGAAGACGAAGCTTGCACGTAGGCGTGTCAAGCCATCTTGCCGGGCAACGACGTTGCCGACGACGAATAGAGCGTCTCTGCATATGGGATACGCAGTGAAGGGCGCGTCGAGCTAGGAAGGAAGAGGTAGTCTGATGCTAGATCAACTACAACCTTGAAGGAAGACAAAATGTTTGGTATCCAGTGCAGGACTCGACGGTTGGAGAATGCATTGATCGCAGCAGCTCCGAAGACGACGAGGATGGCACGTCCTGTCCTGACGTGGGCGGTTGGCGCGGCGGTGTGTGTGAGCTTCCTGCGGCTGTTTGTCGGAGCAGGATAGCGCAGCAGGAGAACAGAATAGCACAGCAAGATAGCAGGATAGCTCGATAGGATAGTAGCAAGATAGTAGGATATGGCTTGTCGTCTCGGGTGGGAATCCGAAGATGGCGGCCAAAAAGGCCGTCGTCGGCCGAAGATTCGATTGAAGTTGGCTGCGTCCCATTGTTTTAAACCTGTTGCTTTCTTGTCGCTGCATTGTATATTTGTATGCAAAGTGTTTTTAACATTAAAGGTGATGGCGGCACCCAATATTGCACAAGGACCAATATTGGTTTGGCGGCATGGGCAAGGCGCCGTGGTACTCGCTCCTCGCGTTCGACCTCGATGGCACGCTCCTCAACAAGGCCGGCCACGTGAGCCCGCGCACGGCCGCGGCGATCCGTGCTGTCGTCGCGACCGGCGCCATCGTCTCCCTGTGCTCCGGCCGGTCGACTGCGTGCATGGTGGAGGCGGCGCGCCAGCTCGGCCTTGACCACGGCGTGACGCTCGTGTCGTGCAATGGCGCCGCCGCCTTTGACCCGACCAACAAGCCGCTCTTTATCGACACGATGGCCGTCGAGAGTGTTCGCCATGTGCTTCGGGTGGCCGCCAATATGGACCGCTGCGTTAACGTGTACGACGAGGAGCGCGGTGTGATCCACGCCAAGCCGACGCATCCGCACCACTACGACCTCATTGACGAGTATAGTAAGCGCACGGGCGGCGTCTATAACCTCGTCGACGAGTACGACACGACGGGCGTCCGGCCATGCCAGCTCGCGGTCCTCGGGCGTGACGTCGATGCGATCCATGCCACGCTGACGGCTGAGGTGCCGAGCCTCACCTTCAACAAGTACTCGACGTTCGTCGAGTGCCTCCCGAGCCAAGTGCACAAGGGCGTCGGGCTCACACGCCTCGCGCAGCATCTCTCGATTCCTCTCGCGCGCACGGTCGCGTTTGGCGACGGCTTGAACGACCTCGAGTTCGTCCAGACCGCAGGACTGGGTATCGCGATGGCCAACGGCGACGATGCGGTCAAGCGGGCAGCAAACCGCGTCTCGCGCTACGACCACGACGACGACGGCGTCGCCCACGAGCTTGAGTGGCTGCTACGAACGGGCGTCGTCGGCGTGCCACCCGAGGTCAATCAGCAGGCCATGGCCTCGATCTAACAACGGATTTGAGTTTGGAGTTTGGAGTCTTGAGTTTGGACGGTTGCGTACTGTGATTGGCTGAAATTGGAGGCTGGTGAAAATACAAGAGCGGATGACGAAGCTTGAGCGGCCGATCCCGAGCCCCGATGGGGTCAACCAGTCGCGGGACGAAGGCTTCCGCGCGTCCGTGGGCATCCTGCTCATGCGTCTGCACCCGGACGTCACGGCGCATGCCATTGATGCGCTCGTGCACCTGCGCCAGAGCGGCCTCGTGCCCGGGATCTTCTTCCGCACCGAGCGCCTCCTCTCGGGCTACATTTACCCGCTGCTCACGCTGTCGCTGACGCCCAACGACATTCTGACGCACATCCGCGAGAAGGCCACGAAGGACGCAGACGTGATCGTTTCGACGCTGCTCTCGCACTCGAATGTGGTCGCGACGACGACGACGGACCCGCAGCTCGAGCGACGCGGTACGGTGCAACACGCAAGTCATGTAGCCTAAGCGACGTCATATCTAGGCTGTCGTGTCGTCGGCGTCGTCGGCGACTACGTCGTCGTGCACTGGCCCGGGCTGCCCGATGCCTACGATGAGTACGTGCTCCGCACGAGCATCACGACGGACACGCACATTGACTCGATCGAAGCCATGGCCGCGCCCTTCAACATCTCGTCCGAGTTCTACAATGCGCAAAAGAAGTACGCGCCCATGTGGGTCAACGCGCTCGACTACATGACACCGTCGACCGCCAAGCGTCCTCGGGTACGACGACTCTCTCCTCCAACCATCATGGACGACACATATGCACCATGTCCAGTCACCCTCCGCGAACGAGACACCGGCGTGCGTCAAGCACACCAAGGTCGATCCGACTGTTATCGCACGCCTCGACGGCGGCGCCGCTGCGGCCGTCTCGCTCTTGTTGCAGTCGTCGACGACCAACAAGCCAACGACGAGCGTGCTCGACCACTTTGAGGCCAGCGCCACGTCCGAGCCCACGAAAGGTGTGGCCGTGCATCTGCACTCTGCGCCGGGCTCGGTCGCTGTCGAGCAGCAGACTGTCGTCGCGATTCCGAGCTGCAGCCGCTGGTTCTCGCTCGATGCCGTGCACCCGCTCGAGAAGCGCATGCTGCCCGAGTTTTTCGAAGAGCCGCGGCCCGGCACGATCCGGTCCAAGACGCCGCAGGTGCCGCGCTCTACAACACGAGACCGAGCAGTATGGACACCTTGTCTAGGTCTATGTGACGTACCGCAACTACATGGTGCATGCCTCGCGCGCGCAGCCGCACGTCTACTTGACGGCCACGGCATGCCGGCGTAATCTTGCAGGTGACGTGTGCGCGGTCTTGCGCGTGCATGAATTTCTCACGCACTGGGGCTTGATCAACTACCACGTCCCGGCGCACGCGCTCCCGCCCAGCGTCCCCTCGACGCTCGACCTCGACGTCGCGGCCTACCCGACGCCCGCGGTACATTGTACACATACGATATCGCCTCTCAGATCTGAAATCTGAAATCTGATATCGGATATCTCGCCTCTCAGATCGGAGATCTGATTGTACAATGCGTAGTTGAGCGTGTGCGAATCGTGCGTCCAGAGTGCGATCGCGTACGAGTTGTCGCTGGACGCCAAGCGCAAGGAGCGCCAGTCGCAGCTCGGCGGGCCGCTTCGGAAGCTTGATGCGTGGGGCGCCCGGCCGGGCACTGGCATTTGCGAAAACTGCTTTGCGAAGCGCAAATTTCCAACGCATTTGGACGCGACCGACTTTGTGCCATTGCCCACGAGCTGCAAGTGGAACGCCGACGAGTCCAAGCGGCTCGTCGACGCTCTCAACGCGCTCGATACGTCCCAGGCGATCGACTGGAACGAGGTCGGCAACACGGTCGGCAAGCCGCCGAAGGAGTGCCTCTTTCAGTTTCTTCAGCTGCCGCTCGACGCGCAAGAGCCGCGTCGAAACGCATCCACGTCCAAGGCCTCGGGGTTGTTCCCGCTGGCGCGCGCGACGGCCGACGTGGCCGACATGGTCGCGAACGCCGACCCGCAGCTCGTACAAGCAGCGACGCGCGCGGTCTTGGCCAAGCTCGACGAGCTCAACACGCCGTCGGCCGCCAAAGCGTCAAGTCCAGCGGTGGTACAACTGTTATTTTGCATGGCGACCGACGTAGCGTCTTTGGTTTATAGGCCACAGCCAAGGCGGGCCTCGAGAAGGGCGCCAAGGCGCTCGCCAAGACGGCGAATGACGCAGGCTTGAGCTGTACGTCCCTTCTACCTATCTTAGCGCCCACTGAAGCCTGTATGTAGTAAAGGAAGACGTGTCGCTCGAGAACGTCGTGTCCGAGCAGGTGTCGTCGGCAACGGCCGTGGCGCTGCTTGCTGCCAACGCACACGTACGACGCTCGTCCTCGACGATCGTAGCCTCATGGTACCGTAGAGCATTGCGGCACAAGAGGCAAGTGCTGTCAAGCATCTCATGCGGGACTTGCTGCAGTGCCAAATGGAGCAAGTCCAGCTCAAAATGAAGGCATTCCAACAACTCGAGATGGCGCTCCACGCCGAGCGCGAAGAGGTAGACTCTGTATCAACTTGATAGTTGACTCACATTGCACATGATAGCTCACAAAGGAGCGGCATGCGATCTACATGGCGCGTCTTGCCGCCGTCGCATCGCCAAACCCGGAGGCGTAGACGAAACCAATACAAGAGACGCTTTATTGGGGACACAACCCTTGCATTTGGCCCCTCCATGGCGCACAAGCAGGCCGTGATACACCGCTGTACACTGTAGTCGCCAAGGTTGCAGCTGACTTCCACGGGTGGGCCCTGAGACCTGCGCCTTGCCTACTGAGTATTCCCTTCTATCGTGCTCCAAACGACGCCCTGTACGATCAACGCTGTCAGGTACGCGGTCAGGTCGCGTTTCGACTACGAATATCGACTTATCGACTGTCGACGACTAAACGATTCGACCGACTCTCTTGCGCTGGGTGGGCGACGGCCGTTCAAAAAGTGCGCCAATTTTCGGTTATCCGGACGGTTTATCCGGATAACCGGCCGCTCTTCCCGCGCCCACGATGGCTGTCACGAGTGATTTTATACCGCCGCCCGGTTCGTTTTTAAAATGGTGCTTTTGCACTTGGTGATTGTATGCAAAATAAAATATGGGTATTAAAAAGCGCGGTCGGCCAAAGTGCGGAGCCATTTTCACACTCGCCGCCATGTCCTTCCTGACGCCGCCGCTCAAGACGGTTCGACTAGCGTCGCGTGGATTCGACTAACTAAACGGTGGGACGTAGAAGCCGGCGGGGCTCGGCGACGTGCGTCAGCTCACGCTGAGCCAAGGCAAGAAGAAGCGCAAGATCGCCAAGGTGCTCGACCTCAAGGACGACGACGGCGGCGCGAGCTCGTCCGAGGAAGAGTTTGACTACAAGGCCATGAGCTTCAACAAGGAGAACGTCGTGGAGAACGACAGCGAGAGCGACAGCGACAGCGAGTGCGAAGTGCTCTTCGACTCGCTCTCGTCGCCGGCCAAGGCGACGCCATCGACGCCGGCAAACCACTTTGCGCTCGACTTTCAGGTGCGCAGAGCGCGACGACGCAGCGTGGGCGAACGTGCTGCGTAGGTCTCGTCAGTCGCTGTCGACCGCGCTGGCCGCTTCGTTGTCGCCGGCTTCAACAATGGCACGATCCGCCTCTACCCGCTTGTCGACAACTTTAAGCGCGCGATTGACGTCGGGGTCGTCGAAGTCAGCTCCGTCGACGCCAACGCGCTCGTCTTCCGGAAGGGCGTCGTCCTCGAACACATCACCGCGCGTGGCATGTACACGACGCTGCGCGTCCACGTTGTCATTCCGGGTGCGCCACTGGCCACTGCTTAAGCAAGAACGCTCATAGGGTTTCGGTCGTAGAGGACGGTCGGTTCATCTTTGCTGGCGTCTACCGCGGGTCCACCGAGATCCTCGTCATCGACATCGACTCGATCGTGCTACCAACCGAGACGATTGGTGTCCCGACGGCCGAGGTCGTGACGCACTCGTACAACGACGCCAAGCTGCGCGTACGTGCTTTGCCGACTCTCTCCATTGCATGCCCACACCTCTGTTTAGGGCTTCGGTGCGGTGCGTGCGGTGCCCGGCGACAGCCTCATGTCCGTCCACGCGTCGTACTTGCCTCGTGTCTGATCCTCCACCTTAGTACGACCGAGTATCAAGTGCTCTGCGGTCTCGGCATCAAGAACCTGCACCTCTGGCGCTTCTACTGGGACCCCTCGTCCGACGACGACGAGTCCAAGTGGACATGGCAGTGCGTCTTTGACCGTCAGACCAACGGCATTAGCCTCGAGTACCTCTCATTCGGGCCCGGCCCTAACCAGGTCATCTCCAAGTCCGAGCACCAAGCCATCCGCGTCTGGACGCTCTCCGAAGCGACGGCCGACGATGGCACGATCGCGTCGTTCGAGTACACGGACATCAAGCACACGACAGTACATTGTTCTTCTCTGCTTTTGAAGCATCTCACATTTCTACGATCTAGGACGCCGTCGAAGTGTTTGGCCATTATGCGTACGGCGGGTCGGAGCGGCTAGCGCTCGTGGACCTCGACAACTCCAAGCGCTTTGAACTCGTACGGTGTGTCGCTTAGGGGTAGGGAACTGAGCATGCCATGCGTAGGACCTTCCGTCGTCGTCGGCGGTCGCGGCAGCGCGCCCGACGCTCAACTTTCGCAAGCGCCAACTGCGCACTTTGTCCAACCTCACGGGTGACCCGATGGGCGTCACGCTCGGCATGTGCTCGGACGGCAGTGTCTTTGTGCACAAAGCCACCGCGGATGCCGCCCTCGGTGTCCACACGCCACCTACGTACGTGCCAGGCTACGAGTCGTTTTACCAGGACCAAGGCGGGCTCTTGACGCTGCTGCCGTTTGAGATCCAAGACGAGAAGGAGTGGATGGTGGTGTCGGCCAACACGAACGAACTCCGCGTGCACGTACTCCACGAGTTCCTCGGTGAGCCCAAGCAGGCGTTCGTCGCGCCGACAAAGCCGCGCAAGCTGAAGCTCACGGCGGCTAAAGAGCTCAAAGTAAAGAAAACCAAGAAGAACTCGAAGAAAACGCCGAGTCCGCCGCCGTCCGTGGTCGACGATAACGACACGTTTATCGTGCGCCCGCTCAAGGTCAAGGTGGTCGAAACGCCGGCCCCGGTCGTCGTCGATGTTGTGCCAAACGTGCTGGCGTCGCCGCCGCTCAAGCGCAAACTCGAACCCGAGATCGCCGCGGTGGCCACCGTCGCCGAGACCAAGAAGCGCATCAAGGCGTCGCCGTGGAGCTACGAGCTCAAGCCGCTCGCACCAAAGCCGGTGGCGATCGTCGTGCACCCGCCAGCAGTCACGCCGGCGCTCGTGACGCCCGTGAAGCGCCCGGCCAAAATCGCCGTGCCGTCGCCTGTCGTGTCCATCTCGCCGTGCTCGTCGCCCGTCCTGCCGCAGACGCCCGCGCCGTCGACACCAACCAAGAAGGTGGTCGACGACCAGCGCGACTGGAGTCCGTTTGTGATCCCCAAGCGCCGCAACAAGGAGCTCATCATGGACGAGCCGGCGGTCGTTGCTGAAGCGCCGCCGTCGCCCGTCAAGGCAATGACGCCGCCACCGGTAGAGGTCATTCCGTCGCGCCTCGACACGATCGCCGAGGTCGCTACGATTGTTGCTGCGGTCGAGCCGACGCTGGATGCGGCGCCACCCAGTGTGACCCCGTCGCCGTTTGCCAGCCATGCGCGGTCGCTGCTGATGCAGCTGACGACGTGCATGCTCGACGAAGACGAGCCCATGGACATTGGTACACGCTTCGATCCTTCTCGTGGCACCTTGTATGAACAGTCTTTATTATGCTAGACGAAAAACTCGCAAATGAAACGATGGCGCGCTTTGAAGCGCAGCAGGCGCAGCTCAAGGAGACCTTCACGCGCGGCCACCGCCAGCTCATCCGCACCGTGTGCAACGACATGCACCGCCGGGGCACGGCCATGCTCGAGCCCGGTCAGCTCCAAGACATTTTTCAAAAGCACGTGGTACGATTTGAATTTGTTTCAAGTTGATAGACTGATACAAACATGGGTAGGACGAGCTGATACGCGTCCAGCAGCTCGAAGCCGACGCGCTCCACGCCAAGCAGCTTGTCGAGTGGACGATCCTCGGTCTCTGCGACTTTTCACTGCCCCGCGTGCACACTGCATTCCCCGTCCCGCGGCTCTTTGGCTAGGCTAGATTCCTGTTATATAATTCAATTCTGTGTACTAGTTAGACACGTCGTTTCCGCCACGGCAGCGAAAACCTTGATTTGCTCGCCGGTACAACTGCTTCGACGATCGCGACGACCGCGCTATGCGCCGGGATCTCGGGCAATTCCTTGCGTTTGTGGCGGCGATACGCGCGTTGAATGCGTCTCGCAGCGGCCCGTCGCGTAGCAAGCGCATCGCCCCGCACACGTAGCCGACGCAAGGTGTCCGTGTACTCTGGCGTCTCGTGCAACTTCAAGTCCTACGCCTCTTTGGCTGCAGTTCTTAGTGGCTACGAGAGCTCTGGACCTTGGCGAGGCCCAGGACAAGCTCCACGCGGGCGTCTCGCTCCATGGCTTTGGCTTGCGCTTGTGCCGCCAGCCTACTCGAATCATCGGTTCGACTAACTACAAAATTGGCGCAAATTACTGGGCGTCGCGGGCCTCGGAGGCCATCCGGTCGGCCTCTTCGTCGACCATGCGCTGCTGCAAAGCAAGTGCTTTGAGGTCCCGCCACACGTGCGGGCGGTGGGCCGCCAGCTCCCGCAACTGCTGGTCCGGACTAGGGCTAGGGTAGGGCGCGCCCGAGAGAGCCGACAGTACCTCGTGTCCCGGACCCGCTGCAGTAGCGCGGCGTGGCGGTCCCTCGCGGCCACCTCCGCTGCTTTCTTTTCGTCGTCTTGCTGCGCGGCCATCGAGGCCATTAGCATGCGCTTCCACTCCTGCAGAGATGCTCGTTAGACGATACGGCGACTTGCGATTCGACCTCGAGTCCCGCTTTCGAAACGAGATACGAGGCCCTACGGTTCGTCAGACGACGCGCGGATCGGACGACGCACTTGTCGTGGCGCGAGAGGCCGCGGGCAAATTGAACGCACTCGGCGAGGTCGGCGTGGAGGCCAGCGACGCACTCGTCATGCGCGGCCGTGAGCATGGCTTGCCGCGCCTTGTACAAGCGCAGTCCGTCGTCCAGCACGCGCTTCTGCTGCTGCATGTGGTCCATGTACTATTCATCGTCCATTACGTAGGCAGCAAACACCAAGAGAGCGACGATACGAGCTGCGTCGTCTCGGTCACGAGGGACGCGACGTCGTTGGCGTCGGCGGCTTTGGCCAGCGTGTGCCGCATGGTCGGCAAGATCGTTTTCATGTCGAGCTGCTGAAGATGCTTGTGTTGACAGAGGCGATGCTTGTACGCGTCACCGGTCGTCACGGGGTTGCTCAGTGCCTCCAACTCGTCCAGCAGAGGGAGCGAGAGTACTGTCTTGACGAGCTACGTCGACAATGTGGCGATAAAGAAGGAAGAGAGGTCGTACCTCGTCGAGATCGGTGAGATGATTATAACTCAGAGCAAGCGAGCGCAGCTGCTGCAGGGGCACCACCGACCCCAAGCAGTCGTCATGCAGTTGGTTGCGACGCACCGAGAGCCGCTCGAGTCTACAGCCGCGTCGCTACATGAGCGATATTCTGCGTGTGACGCAGCAGCTACGATCGAAGGCCCTCGACACCGCGTAGCGTAGTGAGCTTGTTCTCGTCCAACAGCAGCGTCTGCAAGTGCACACAGACGTCGAGACCGTCCAGCGACCCAATCTCGTTGCACGAGAGGTCCAAGCTCACGAGAGCGTTGGCTGTAGGCAGTCCCCGCACGTGCTAGAGACGCTGCGAAAAGGCGTCGCTCCCAGTGATAATGGTACCGTGATCAAGTTGGTTGCGGCGTTGAGTACCCGTAGGTGGCGACATCCGTCGAGGCCAGCGACGTCAGTGAGCTTGGGCTGCATGCGCCACCGGTCACTTTGATGACAACTGCGTACCTGGTTGAGCTGCACGCGGAGCTCTCGGAGGTTGGGCCATGAAGCGAGGGGTGGTACTTGTCGCAGCCGGTTCATCGACGCATCCAGAAGCACAATGTCGTCGATTTGTCTAGTCGAGCGACTTGGGGTACGCAGGAGTCGAGAAGCGAGCGTACGCTGACATCGGTAGCGGTGGCGGGAGGGTGCGAAGCTGCTTGTACTTGCAGCTTGCTTCAAAGATGCGCGCGCTACTCTCAACATGCCACTCGAGCGGCCGGTCCCGCACCTCGATCACAGTCCACACCGAAGGTTTCATGGCAGTTGAGACTCTACTTTCTATCGAGTCAACACTGTATATAGCTCTTTTCTAGACACAAACTTTAAAACAGGACAATATGTCTTTACTTTGACTGAAAAGCTACATGGTGTACTGGCGAGGCCGGTCGCTCTCGTCGTCGTCACTCGACCCGATCTCCAAGTCGATCGCTGACGACGTTCGAGGCAGCGTCGCAATCGCTAGATGGCAAATATCAACTTGATAATTTCCAGACGCGCGCACACCGTCCATCTCGGTCGACGAGCTCTGGCGGGGAAAAAGGCTGTGCTTCTTGAGCTTGAGGCCCTTGTACTTGAGCCCGTAGAGAATGCCGAGTGCGCAGAGCAGCACAAAACTACCGACAATGACCCACGGGACATACCTACCCCCACGTTCCATGAGCCAAAACACTAGACACGAATTATTCGCACGTTGCGGTCGTCGACTCGCTGGCTTCAAAGGACTTGAGCAGGCGGGTCTGACTCAGGGCGTAGGCGCCCAGCGTGCTGTCGCTATGCAGCGACACGTGCATAGCGTACTTGGAGACGACGTGCGCCGAGATCGTGCTCAGAACCGGCGACGCCTCATAGACGCTCGAACACTAGTGCATATTACTACACCAACAGACCCACGCGGGTTCGAAGCGTGTACCGTGGTCGATGCAGCGGTCGCGTGCGCATATGCATACGCGGTCACGACCGTCGCATTGGTTGCGACCTGGCTCACTTGGGACTTTGCGCTTGTTAGACCAAAGTAGGCATCCACGCGGTGCTCCTGCAGCACCGAACTTAGCGCAGTAGCAATCTCGCAGAGCGGTCGCTGCCCCACGAGAAAGAGCCACTGGCTACGACTCGCCCCGAGGGTCGTTAGCAGCCTACCACAAATTGATACGCCTCTTCGAGAACAGCCATTGCTACCAGCTTGTGTGGGCGGCTTGCGCTTCGTGGATCGCGTCACACGAGGTGGTGCACACTACTTCTCCATCTGAGTCAATTGAGTCACCTGCGGCCTCTCGAGGATCTGCAATACCTGGTGCGAGGAGTGTATCGTTGATGAACACCACCTACGGCTCCGTCACACCAGCCATCTCTAGCGACCAAGGCAAGTACTTGAATCGAGAACGGGTCGACCTCGACGGAGGCATTGACAACGAGCGTTGAGCCTGGGGTGGCCGACATGACGTTGCTCTAGACAGGCCGTGCCTTCGGTTTCAACGCTGTCCAAGCCATCCTACCTGCAGCCAGAGAGGCAGAAAGGACGCATTGATCGTGGCGTCGGTCGTGAGTGTCCAAACGTTGGTTTGGTTGACGCTCGCCGCCGCTGCGACTTGCACCTACTCGGTCGTATCATAAGTGCAGCGCTCGACGGTGGAATGGCAACGACTTGGTGGTAGAAGGCGGTCGACGGCGTGCCAGCCACCGGCGCCAGCACATGAAATACGATGGAGCTCGTTGCGTTTGCGAGCGCGGCCATCGACCAAACGAGCAACATCCGCACCATTTTGCGTGAATTCTCGACTATTTTCGTTTAAAAACTGACTTACGACTGGTGTCATCTATGAAAATAGCTTGTGGAGTGCACCCCGCTTCTCGCTCAGCCGCAGCGCCTTCTCGACGCCGGCAGGCCCCAGCTCGGTCTCGACGACGTCGCGAAAGCTGCGGTACTGAACCTCCTAGATACCGAATTTGTCAGCCGCACAACCCAGAGACGCAGTCGTACGAGGCTGCCGAGGAGAAGGAGCAAGTCGCCGTCGCTCTTCTCGGCCGTCTGCGATGCATCGTCAAGAACGCTCTGGCACAAGGGAATAGGTCGTACCGTCTCGGTGGGCGCCGCTCGAAGCGCGTCGATTTGAGCTTGGAGCGATACGATCACCTAGATTCACCAGCGACATGAGCGTGCCGCAGCAAGCACGCGATCACCTCGTCCTTTGTCGCTGTCAACTGGTCCACCTTGGTGCGGAGTCGGTCAAGTTCGGCTGCCATCGTCTCCTGCAGAGCCGTGAGTCGGCGTCCACGAGCTGGAAGGAGTACCTTTTCAAGTTGAACCGACTGCAAGGACGAGTGGAGCGTCTTTGCGGCTTCGTGGTGCGCAGCCCCTTGGCTCCGAAGCTCCTGTTTCCAGCTCGACACCAATTATCCTTCGTGGGCCAACGCTACCTCTTGCAGCTGCATTTCGCCGTCGGCGCGGACCTGCTGCAGCGCTTGCTCGTGCTGCACAACGAGCGATGCAACCGTAGCCGTGTGTGCGGCTGTCATCTCATCCATCTTGGCCTGCACAGCTGCCACGTGGTCGACATTGGGTGCTTGCTTGGCGTCCAGGACGGCCTTGTGGGCCGTGAGGCGGTCAATCATAGCTTGCTGCGCCGCAAGCTCGTCGTCTTTCTCAGCGCACTGCCGCTCGAGGCGGGCGATCGTCGACTCGAGCTGCAACTGCAGAAGCGACGACTCTTCATCGGCAACGGACTTGGCGGCTTGGGATGGCGCAATGGGAGCGTGGGGGGCTGTGGGGGGGTGCCCCCGCAGCGAAGCAAGCTCCTTCTCCTTCTCGGCCAGCTCTGACTCCACCTACTTGGTTTGAGTCCGATCGCCATCTATGGGACGAGCATGTACGTGGTCGAACGCGTGGCGGAGCCCGCGAAAGCGCGTGTCACTTGCTTCCTGCTGACGCCGCAGCTCGTCGATCTGAGCACGGGCCTCCTCGAGCGCGACCGAAGGGGCGGGCATCTTGGCCTCGAGCTCGCGTCGAAGCTCTGTCAGCTGCGCATCTTGCATGCGGATCAGATCTTGGTACGCGCGCGCCGAGCTGTCTTCGTCGGACGCGTCGCTCATGTAGGCGCTCAAGATGGCACTTCGTGTCTTTTCTAAAACCAAATTTCCTGTTGACGCATCGGCCGTATCAAGTTGATATATGCCTGCAATGTGCTTGAAGAGCGTCCCAAATGGCTTGTCATAGAGCGGGTAGGCGAATCCCTCGGGGCGCCGCGCACTGCTCAGCGCATCGCTTTGCTGGAGTTGCGTAAAGCAGTCTGTAAGCCGCTGGAGCCCGACGCGGTCCGTCACCAAGTTGAGAAATTGCTTCTGGCCCATGCCCTGGACAATAGAGCGCTGTATCAAGAAGGCTACAGATGCGTCTCGTACCTTGTGGGCAGGGCCCGTTGGAAGCGTGTCGAGAACGACGCCAAGGACCGCAGCGGCGAGCCCCGTGAGCTCCACGTCGGCGCCGTCGACGGAGGACGACGACCGCGCCCAGTCGAAAAAGAAGGTCAGCGTCGGCACCGAACTCGCGACCTCAGCGACAGCGCGCGGGCACTGCACGATCGATGCGAGAAGCACGCGGAACAACCCGACACAGAGAGGGTACTGGGCCTTGGAGACGGGGGCGACACACGCTCTGCAGAGCCATTGCAGCCACTTGTTGAGGAAGAGCCCGCCTGGCACGGCGACCGTGTTGGCCGCCATCGGAATGCGCAGAGCAAACTCGCGGCACTCGATCGTATCAATCTATCAATACGGTATGTATCAAGGTGGCAAGGAACCCATCTCGTACGAGTTGCCGCCATCGGGCCATGGCCTTCCACGCCACCTTGATCGCGTCGCGGGTCGTGAGCTCGATCGTGGCCGTCGTGGTGCCGTCGAGAATTGCGTCTATGTGGACAACAAGTCCTTTAAAAATGTACACTATTTACCGTACCAATCGTCGACTCAAGGATGCTAATGAGTTCTTGGCCAACTGGCGTGATCGGACCGCTCTATACAGTGCGCAGGTTAGCCGATACCTCGCGCACGGGGCGACTTCGTGGTGGGGCGGCGCTGGAATGTGCTGCAACAGCGAAATCTTCACCAGCGGCGAGCTCCAAACTGTGTTCACAAGCCGTGTGGCCGCCACTAGCCAAGCGCATGGGCGGACGTCGTCGTACGTAGAGGTGCGTACCGCTCAGTGCTGTCTCTTCATGGTGCACATCAAGGCGCAGCAAGGACGACAGAAAGTACGACGACTCGCGCAGCGGTAGCGTCAACAAGAGCAGCTGATTTCCTTCGTGGTCTCTTGCAAACGCTTCTAGGAGCTAATCCGAATAGAGGGTTAGGGTACATATTTGCGAAATCTTTCAACGCACCGTGCAGGCAGCGATGCGGTCGGCCGTGGTGCCAAAAGCCGCAAGCTCGGCGACCGCGGGAATCACATCGGGCTGCTGGGCCAAGGAGCTCTGGAGGCTTGGGATCTCGCCCAACCGCTTGGCTTGGTCGCGCTGCGCCAGTTCGTCCAAGTCCTACATCGCAGTCGAAACGCAATTCGATAGCCGTCGCAGGTACCGTCAGGTCGTGAAATACGGGCCCGATGAGCGCCTGCAACAGCCGCAGCGTCCACTCAATGGCGGGCGTCGGCGCGTCGCTCGGCTCGACGTCGGCGTCATCCACCGCGAGGGGTGCTGTCAGTAGCAGCGGGAAGAGCGCGGGAATGAACGGCGTTTGGCTCAAGAGGTACTGCGAGTTGACGTTGTCGTGGACCATGTGGTACAGCACTTGGAGGCAGTCGACCAAGACCGCACTGTCGACGCCGTGCCTACAACGTGCGACTTGATACCTTGATACATTTTAGACACTAGACAAACCCTTCGAGTTCGAGGTCGACGATCTGGAACAAGCGAGCAAACCCGTCCTCAAAGGCGAGGAATTGCTGGATATGACGCTGGGCCATCGGGCTTTGGTTCGTAACGAGGTGCAGCAGAATCTAGTCGGTCGGATGAGTCGCCACGATGCATAAAGAGTATTTACTTGGATGGCCGTGTCCCGAATGTGTTCACGCTTGTCCTCGACGACGTCGAGCAGCAGCCGCAGCCTACGACGCCATGAAGACGGTCCTAGAGGCTAAGGATAAGCGTACCCTTCGTGGCAGTCGAGGATGTGGGACGCAAAGCTCTGAACGTCGCCGTCTTGGACGCGCTTGATGAGCTGCACGGTCGGGCCTCGAATCCACGGCGACGGATCGGTCATGAGGTTGAGGATCTCGCGCAGCGCATTCGGCTCTGCGTCGACACGCCTGTTAGTTGCGAAGGGACCCGAGACGTCGTACCGTTGAGAAGCAGCGTCGCATTGGCCGGTCGCATGGTCATGAGCGCCTGCATGAGCTCGAGCATCGCCTCCATGAGCTCCGTGTCGCGAGGGTCCGTCACGAGCGCGTTGAGCAACACGGGCAGCAATAGCGCGTGGTACTCGTCGAGGATCTCGGCCGTGTCCCAGAGCGCTTGAAGCTTGGTCAGTGACGCCTTGCGCTCCGCGAGCAACATGGCGTACTGGAAGCCCTCGATCGCGGTCGTGACGTCGGCCTTGGCCACGTGGCGCCGGCCCGAGGTCGGCGGCGTCGAGATGCGGGGCGGCGTCACGAGGCCCGTCAGCTCCGGCGGGCGCTTGGGCTCGGCGTCGTGGCGCGGTGGCAGGCCGTCCAGCGACGACTGCACAAACTTCTTCATGAGGTGCTGCATCCTCGTCGACGTCAGCGGCTTGGATCTACGCTCGCTTACAAAGTACGCTCGTCGACCTATGCGCCAATCCGATCGTTGGATTTGTAACAGATGGTACTCGGCGGTGCGAATTTCTGCCATCGAGCCATTGTCACCATGCTCCGGCGCGCCTACTCGAGCGCGGTCTCGGCCGTCCGCGTCGCCAACACGCCGAGCCTCAAGCGGTCCTTGGGCCAGCACCTGCTCGTGAACGAAGGGATTCTCCAAGACATCATTGACGCGTCGCACCTGCGGCCCACCGACCACGTGCTCGAGGTCGGCCCGGGCACGGGCAACCTCACGCTGCTGCTGCTTGGCGTCGCCGAGCGCGTCACGTGCGTACGTCCCGCCCACCTTCGCTATATGTAGCGACAAACAGCGTAGGTCGAGTACGACCACCGCATGGTCGCGCAGCTCGAAGCCCGCTTTCCAAACGAAATCGCGTCGGCCAAGCTCACCATCCTCCGCGACGACTTTGCAAAGTTCGACTTGCGCTCGATCGACCCGATCGACATGTGCGTCGCCAACATCCCGTACAACATCTCGTCGCCGATCGTCGCCAAGCTACTGAGCCAAAAAGTCGACCCGAAATTGCGCGCGTCCGTGCTCATGGTGCAAGACGAGTTTGCCCTTCGTCTCATGGCCACGTACGCCTTTCTTCTCGTGTTTCCCTTCACATTATTGTCTTATTCTCCATTCTTATAGGGCGGGCCATAAGAACTATAGTCGTCTGAGCGTCAACACGGCGTTCCAAGCCAACATCTCGACCGTGGTCAAGGTTCCGCGCAAGCATTTTGTGCCACCCCCCAAAGGTCCAACTGCTTCGACTGAAGTCTAGTCATCATCCGCGTCTAGTCGACTCGCGCGTCATCAAGATCGAGCGCAAGACCGACCAGCCCGATGCGTCGACACTCGCGGTCCGTCCAGGAGCATGCGAGGAGCCTCTGACCTCTGACGCCGGCTCTGTAGAAAATGGATACGCTCTTGCGCATAGCTTTCCAGCGCAAGAACAAGACGCTGCGGTCGCAGCTCACGTCGTCGTTCGCTGCCGACGGCTTTGCGCCCTCCGAGATGGACGAGTCGGACCGAAAAGCCGCCATCTTGAGCGTGCTCCACGCCACAAACCTCCATGACGCGCGCGCCGTCAAGCTCACTTGCGACCAATTCCACTCGTACACAATATTCTCCGATTCGATTGATACAGTGGTTGATACATTGGCGTAGACTGCTCGTGGCGCTCGAGGCGGCCGGGGTCGCGTTCAAGCACAGTGAGTTCCACGCGTTTGGCGAAATGCTAGACGAGTAACCACAACAATAGAGACCAACTTTGTCCATTCTAGTACCTGGACTAGCTAGCTCCAAATGGACGCGACCGCCGACTCGACGATGCCTTGAGCCAGTGCTTGGATCTCCTAGGACATGGGTCGTGAAGGATCCAAAGACGACGAGAGAACGTGGATGATGTACATGGTCGCTGGTCGTGGCCGCCAAATCGCGGAGGACGCCGAGGGCGTCGTGCTTGAGGAGCACCTTGCAGACGACCGACGTCTTGCTCACGTCGCGCGTGTCGGGCGATTTGAAGTAGCGTAGGAGCTCGTCGATGGTGGCGAGGGGTTGGCGTAGCGCGGTCGCGTTCGGGCCCTCACGCCGCACAAGCTCTAACATTTCCATCCTACGTCTGCGCATCATGACGCTAGGAGCTACCGAGGATGGCCTTGACTTCGCACGCGCCGTCGCCATCGAGATCGGCCGCCGGAACCGCGTCGGCATGGTCCAGTCGATGCACGCTCGTGGCCTTGCCTACGCGAGTCCTCTCTTTCCTGCTCGCAGAGTCAAGTTGAACGTACGCACGGCGTCGATCTCGCGGTCGATTTCGCGCAGCGAGCAGCGGTGCTGGAGCGAATCGAGGTCGTCCAAGAGCGTGTGCGTGCTGCAGCCAGGCGGGTTGGGGTCGTGCGGACGCAGCACAACGAGCCACGTCAGCGTCGTCGCCACGACAAGGAGGCCCGCGCAGAGGACGCCCACGACGTGCGTCGCCGGCACGTCGGCCAGCGCCGCCTCCAACATCGCTTCCATCGGATCGACTGTTTCAGAACGATAGTAGATTCAGCTAGTTCGATAAACCTAGCCCTTGGGCCATACCAACAAACCAAGTACGAGGTTATGTAGACAGTGTCAAGTCTCTAGAGATCACTAGTGGCGGACGACGGCCTCGAGCGCGCGAAGGACGCTGTGCACCTACGCCGACTGTCACCACATTTGCCATAAACCAAGTGTCGACTACCAGCTCGGTGGGGCACGTCGCACTGGCTTGCGCGACCAGCGTCTCTTCCAGCGTGTCGAGCCGGCTATGCAGCCGCAGTAGCGAGGTGTGTACGGCGCGGAGGCAGTAGAGCGTGTAGAGCACGAGAAGCCCGAGTACAATCATTGGGAGCGGCGAGGCCCTCGGCGATGCGACCTGCGTCGGTGCGGCTTTCTCCACCGGCGCCATCTCCTCTGCCGCCACGCAACTCGTGCTACGACTTGTGCTAGAGTTGCTGTCTGTCGGCTAGCCAATTTGGCACGTGAGGGTGCGCGGTGGAGTTGACGTGGGAGCAAGTACGTACCATGTCCGACGTGGGCGAGGCCACGGGCGGAGCAGTCGAGCCGGACGCGGCTTGTCGTAGCGCCGTATTGCCATGGCTGGCCCTATTTTTTGAGAAAAATAGTCGAAAATGCGTGCGAACGCAGGATCGAACCAGGTCTCGAACGCTTCCTTCGACTCGGAAATGGTCGACGAGACGATTTGAGACTTGAACCACGTCGACTTGAGAAAGTGGATCACGAGGCCCACTTGAGCGTGCGTGAACTTCTTGCCGTCCCGCGTAAAGACCCAGCGCGTCTCAATCTCAAAGTAATCTGAAAACGGAATTTTGTTCATGCGCAGCACGTCGGCGATAATGAGGCGGCTCCAGCTCTTCCCGTCCCCTAGTCGCCGTGCGTCTAGTATACCGTTCAGAGGCAGCGAGCGTACCTTGATGGCGGTACAGCTGGTGGCGCACGCACTCGGCGTACGGGGGCAGTCCCGGGAAGGACACTTTGGGCGGGTGCTTGGACTCGACGCGGCGGTAGTGCGTAAACGTCTCGGTCGAGATCTTGAAGCCCGACGTAACCTCTTTCGGTGTGTCGGACGTCAAGAGCTGCCACCCTAATTTGAAGATTGGGAAAAGTATCAGGGTATCAAGCGGCGTACCGCCAACGCTGATATCAATGTCTTTGGTCGACACCATCACGTTGGAGTAAAACGTTTGGCCGAGACCGTTGGCGAAGAGCGTGTCAAAGACGTCATGGACGTTGCCTGGCATTTCGCAGTCGAGAACGCCTGTCATGCCCACTAAACAAAAAGAAATAAAAAGAAATAAAAAACAAATCGGCGAGGATCGAAGTGCGTACAAAGGGCTTCGTCGGGGGCGAGCGGTACGAAATCGTCGTCGTCGCCGTTCTTGGGGCTCGTCACGTTGCTACAGAGCGTTCGTATTCGAGCGGATACAAACTGGCAAGTGACGCACCTTGGCTTCTTTGTGAGCTTCATCGACTTGCGGCGCTGGGATGCCATCTCCTTGAGCGCTTCCGGACTCACATCGCTGTCTACAGTACAAAATAGAGTGCCATCGTCATCGCATGTACGGCGGCGAACCCCGGCTCTGTTGCTGGCGGTGGGCCAAAATGAGCTGGTCGAGACGCACAAAGCACATGTCCCTACGAGACGCTTACGTCCAAACTAAACACGATAGGGTAGCGTACCGGAGGCCGTTGAACTCGGCAAAGAACCATGTTTTGTCCTTGGTTTTGAGCTGGAGGGCATTGATAAAGTAGAATTCGGGTTTGACGACGGCCGTAATGTCGGAATACGAGATCAAAATCGGTGTTTCCGACGACCGATAAGCCTAGTGCATAACTTTAATAGCAGTCGCCAGTCACTGACGTTGTACCGCAAACGCCACGTAGTCGCGCGTCAAGAACAAGTGCCCGTAGAAAGGCCGAATCTCGGGAAAGTAGCAGCACGTAAAGATAACGACTGGCGACTAAATAATACCAACACATTCTGGCTTCCGCAAGCGCCGAATATCAAGGTATCAAGAACCTGCGCGTCGGGCAACTCAAACTTGGCGAGAAAGTCCGACTGCGTCATGGGCGATAGGCCGTTCCACGTCGCGTGGGGCGTCTGCGCCTGCGCTTGAAACTCGCGAATGCGCACGCAGCAGCAGTCACAGACGCGAAATTCGCCCTTGTGCGTCTACAGCCACGATGAGTCGTCGTCGTCACGGTGTGTATAAAGAGCAACGAGCGCTTCAAAGGGCACGACCGACGTCTTGGACGAGCACGCTTGGCAGAACGTACCGCCGCAGTTGCGGCAGTGGTGGCGGCTCTTCCCGAGGAGCGTACCGACCTCCTCTATGCACATGCCATCGATACTACGACACTCGATGTTGAAGCCGCACCTTTGCAGTTTTCGCAGATCGTGAGGTTGGCAAAGGCAGGCGGCAGCAGCGGTGGGCTAAAGAAGACGCTCGTGCCAACGTTGCCATGCAGCCTATCGCGACGAAAAGTTGCGTGTGCGACCATGGCGGCGGTGGCTCGTAGTAGTACCCGATATCGGCCGACGCCTTGCGCTCGCTGGGTGTGGTCGGGAGCGGTGGCCCGGCCGGGCGCGCGATCGCCATGATAGAAGCGGCAAGGTTGTTGATGCTCGTCTTCATCGCAGGCGGCATGGTTGCAATCGGTGGCGGCGATGATCGTGGCCCGATCTCGGGCGACGACGACGACCGGGGCATGCTCTCGTGCTTGGGCGAGCCACTGTGGCCTTCCGAGTCCGAGACTGCATGGACGTCCTCGTCGTTCTCGTCGTTCTCCGAGTCGTCGTCGTCGAAGCTCGCGTTGTGGTCCTCGCTGTGCATGAGCGTGCGCTCGTCGGCTTGCGGTAGACGCTTCGGGACCTCCATTACTGCAGCTTCTCCCAATGCGAAAATGCAGCCTTGAAGTTGCCGTTGGACTCGCGTGGCATTCTATTACTTGGTGTTTGTATGCAATATAAAACGAACGCGAATGATCAGGTTAAAATCGTGGCGGCTTGACACAGAGACACGATGGACCCATGCTTGCGCGACCCCAAGGGCGGCAGCAATCATCGACGTCCTCCATCGTCGTCGCCATGTCCGAGAAGCGCCATGGACGGCGATCGAGGTGCGTTAACAGATGAGAGTGCTTGCATGCAGCTGCCGGTTGGATCTTCTTTCTGGCTTCTTGGGAAGTACCCGTCGAGAGTAGTCGTCGTGGTACCTGCGATCAAAATGAAGCGGTCTCTACGGTGCATATATATGTATCTCGGGTCTACGTCTACGTCTACTAGCGTGCGGCGAAGGATGCTCTACTCGTCCTTCTTGGCCGCCGCCTCCTTTTCGGCAGCCTCCTCGGCGAGCTGCTGCTCCATGAGGTCCTTGACCTTGGCGTCGGCCGTGAGCGCGTGCATGAGAATGCGCTGGACGATCATCGCCGAGCCGACGTCGAGACCGGCCGAGAGCTCGGCAAAGTCGCGCTCGCCTTCCCAGATCTGGTGCGTCGCGTCCACAATCTTGTAGCCGCCACGGCGCTCGAGCTCGTTGAGGCCGTTGATGTGGCCGTCTTCGCCGTCTTCCTTGGTGTACAGGTCGTAGATCTCGGCGTACTCTTCGTGGTGCGCCATGTACGGCACCGCGGCGACGATCTCAAAGATATCGTTGAGCTCTTCCAGTACACGCTCGATGGACGTGTCGTTCTCCGGCGTCGAGCGCGGCGTCTCGACAAAGGCCGGCGCGACCGGCTCGGGCGCAGGCTTGGCGACCGGCGCGTCCGTGTCGTACTGTTCGTTCGAGTTGACCTTATGGTCCGTCGTGAGGCCCCAGCTGCCCTTACTCCACTCAAACACGCGCGGCCAGCCGCACTCTTCAAAGAACGACCCGAGCTGCGTCTCCATGAGCGTCACGCACGAGCCGCCGGTCGTCTTGAGGTTGAGTGTCACCTTCTTAAACTCACCCGAGACGGGCGTCGTGAGGTAGAAGGGCAGGCTGAGCTTCTTCGCCGGCGGGAACTCACCGCTCGTGTTCTCAACCGCATCCAGAATGCCCATGAGCTCCTTGTACGACTCGGTGTTGGAATGCTGCTCGGCGGGAAACTGGCCAAACAAGTCGGGGTGCGTACGCATGTACAGCTTGCGCAAGGTTTCCTTGAGCGGCGGGATGCGCTCGGCCTTCTTCTTGCTGTCGCGGAGGGCCTTGCGGCGCATGGCGCGCTCGCTCATCTTGGCCATGCCCCGGATCGGCATGGCCGGGGCGACAAACGTGGTCAGGCGCTGGAGCAACGACGACATCGACATGGTTGGATCGCTTGCAATTTGCTTGGATGGCCAGTCAACGACTCATCCGGATACGCCCTGAAACTCAATGCCAAAGTCCGTTGAGTTGAGCTTTCGGATACGCCGTCGAGCGGACGTGCCAATCGGCAACCTCGGAATTTTGGCATTGGATTCGGCGATAAAAAAACATCGACTAACGAAACGAGCGACTAAAGTTGACGTCGCCACGTCGGCGGTGCCCACTGCTGACGACCGCCTTTGTGCGCGTGCCGCCTCTATGCAAACAAGTACGATCGAGCAGTTTAGTACACTGTAGTTGTCCCAAGCGACTAGAACAATGAGGTCAGCGTCGTCAGCCTCAATGTTTCTTCGACTATTCCAGAAGTACAGGCAGGCGTCCAGAGCCGCGAACCCCAGACGCCAGTCGCGGGCACAGAGCCAAGCCACTTGCATTTGGCTCGCGAAGTAATCGCCTTTCAAAGGCGCGACACGACTTGCGTCGACGAAACCGTACAACTGCGACGTGAGCCCTTCTTTACCTACCCGCGCTGTCGCTGGCGACGGAGGGGTTGTCTTCGTCTGTCTTCAAAGAGTCGTCGTCGGTGGCCTGCAGCTGCCCCCCCCCGCGGTGTCACGAACCTGTACCGTTTGGGGACCAATCAGTGCAGTTGGCGCAACCGCGAGGCCCGGCGGCTTCGCCGCCACAAGGGCGCCAAGATGCTACACGGGCAGGCGAGGCTAGAAGGTTGGAGGCTGGACAGCAAGAAGACACGATGAAAGTAGTAGAAAGGAGTTGACATTAAGGGGGTCTCCTATTCCTGTTGTAGGAAGCCTCGAGGCGATATAAAATTAAGAAATAAATAACTAGTCACAATATGTACGGCGAGCTTGAGAGAAGGCATTCGCGTCCATGTCTTCAATATTCGCGGGCAACGCGCGTGAGGTTGCCGCAGTGAATCGGTTCGGTTGGATGTCCAGCTTAGACACGCACGAGCTTGGTCGAGCGGAACGGCTGGTTGAGCAGCTCGAGCTTGCGCTTGCCATCGCGCTTGTAGTCGAACGAGCAGTTGTGCATTTCAGGGTACCGGTGGCTGTGGCAAAACGTGTACCCGCACTTGCACGAGATGGGCGCGAGCGCGAGGCGGCTACGGCACGTCCAGCACTTGCGCTTGTTGGCCTGGTGCGGCGTCGTCGCCTTCTTCGCCTCGACAACAACGCTCGGCGTCACGACGGGCTCGTTCATGCGCACATGGAGGCGCGGCAGCACCTCGTCGTAGCCGTAGAAAGGTTTGTCGGCGCTCAGGGCGTCGAGCATCCAGCGGTCGTCACGCTTGGGGTCGACACCGGGCGCCTCCATCGAGCCGACGTCAAGGCGCAGGCCCGTGGCCGCGAGCTCGCGCTTCTTCTCTTCGCCATCCACGTAGACGCGGAGCACTTCGAAGAGCAGGTCCCTGTCCATCGCCGGGTATATCGGCGGCGGCGGCTGCTTCATAGTTGAGTCGGCGGGCGTTCTTTGTGTGTGGGATTTCACAACTGACTGCAAGTTGAAACTAGATCGCAGCATCCGGATAAACCCCGTGAAGTCTCGTATTCGATTTTTCAATTGACTTCCGAACGAAGAAAGAAGAAAACGCGCGGTCATTGGTGCCGAGCTTGAAGTTACTCACAGAAACGGCCGGCGCGCATTATCCGGATAGCCCCGCGGATTCGCTCCTGCGCGCGTGACAGATGCCTGGAGAGTGGTATTATCCGGATACGAGTCATTCGGCGCGAACGAAGATGACACGCATCATCGCCTGCTGGCCATCAGTTCGTGGTCGTGCGGCCCGTGGCCATCGCTTCGGCCATCATCGTGCTTGGTACAGTGCGACACGAACTCAGGTGTGCGTACTTTTCGGGCCCGTTCGCATAGTATGCTAGTTAGCGCCTTGTGCTCGGCCTCGCCGACGACGCGCCCAAGAAGACACGTCAAACGACGGAAGAGTCGGAGCCCGCAACTGCGCGCTGGCGCCAGCAAGAATGAAGGTGCGCGAGACATATGCCAAGCGCGAAAATGGTCGACTGCGACGAGGGCTCCTCTCGACAAAGACGACGGCGCTGTTCGTGGCGCGGGACCTTCATCGATGCGAATGGACGTACACCCGAACGAAGTGAGTGGCGCGCACGGCGTGGACTTCGCATATACCCCTGTCGCACTGACGCCACCTGTTCCCACATGAACTTTACAAGGTGCACTTTCCGCCGCCGTGTCGTATCCGGATGACTGGCGTTATCCTGCATTGATTGCGCACCGACCGACGGCTTCGGCGCCGTCGCGATTGCCGCAGCTCAGCGCCCGTCAACCAGACTCTTCTACTGTACGTATCGGACGCATCATGAGTCCATTAAATCGTCTTGTGGCGTGCAGTATGACGATGGAGAAGCGTCTTCCTCGACAGCCTCAATGCGGCCATTGTGCTCGGAAAGGGCGCCGCAAAGGGCGCTGATCATGGGGGTTGCAGCGTCCCACCAACATGAAGGCGAAAACGAACGAAGAAATATTACGAAATATATTCTTTTTTGCATTTTATTTTGTGCGGTTTCCAGAAGGAAAAAGCACCGAAGCTGCCTCGAATAAAATAAAGTATACAAAACGGAGGTAGTTTGGTCGGCCCGTTCGGAGAAAGAAGAGGCCAGTCCCACACGCCCTCCGTCGTCTTCTGCTGGTAGACCATGACGACGACCGACAGCGCGACCAAGATCGCCGAGGCCCAAGGCCTCTTCGCCCGCGTCGTCAAGGCCGAGATGGACATGCTCCTCGAGACGGACATCCCGCGGGAGGTCGCGGTCAAGATCCTGCTCCAGCGCATCGTCGAGGAGATGGTCGAGCCCACGGATGCCGAGGTCCGCAAGGTCATGGGACAGTTCCGCATCAACCGCGACGATGCGATCCGCGCGCTCATCGTCAAGCAAGAGCTTGGCCGACTCAAGCAGCGCGGCCTCGACTCGCTCGCGGCGATCGAGGAGCTCACGCTCAAAATGCAGCGACTCCTGCCGCTGGCCCCGGTCGTCGCGCACGACGACAATGACGTGAAAGAAGACATTGATCACGACATGCTCGCGACGGCGCCCGTAGCGTCGCCAACCGACGCCGAAAACGAGACGGGCGCCCATCCGTCGCTAGTGTTCCATGCGGTCGACGCGTGCCCGTCGCCGGACAGTGCCCAGCACAAGCGCAAGAAGAGCCTGTCACCCCGCCCTGTCTCGTCCACTGCCCGCGTCGCTAGCCCCGAGCACGAGACGGAGGCATGTGCATCTCCGTCTTGGCGTGAAGCGTCTCTCTGCCAACAGATTGGTAACGTGCGCATCTCGTCGACCTCTCCGTCCAAGGAATCCGAGTCGACTGCTGCAGCGATTGTCGACAGCCCGCTCGTCAAGGTATCGCGAAAGCGTCGCATGCCCACAGACGCAGACGTTGACCACCGGTCGTCGAGCGGGAAAGGTCGTTTCGGCAAGAGCAAAAAGGCGCGGCTCGACGTTGACAGTAAGCTCAAGGCCCAGGTCGAGAGCAAGCTCAAGGCGCAAGCCGGCGATGCGTTTGTCCTTGTCAAGACACCAACCAAGGCGCTAAAGCGGTCGCGGCCCAAAGAAGCCGCGACCACCGACGCACCGTACTGCGCCAAGAAGGCCCGATCCGAAGCGTCCTAGTCGAATAAGGCGTGTCCCTATGTGTTTGCTAACTTTATATATATTAAGATACCGTCGTGCTCGACTCTCGACGACAGCTATGACAACATGTACACATACGGCTAATGATGTGGCAGCGGCGCCGCCCCCGGCGTCGTGAGCCGGTGGTAATGGTACGTGTCTTCGAAGCGGATGCGGAGCGGGTTCCGGTCCGTGTGGAGGGACGTGCCGAGGGGTCCGATCTGGACGCCGCGCACCTTGTACTCGAGGTAGTTGAGCACATGGAGGATGCTGTCGAAGGGCCGGTCGATTGGGTCCCAATTTGCGCCTTCAAACTGGAACCACGAGTGCTTCTCGGCGGTGACGCCTGTGAGGAGCGTCTCGAGGAGCGGACCTTGGGGCACCGCGTACTGCGACACGATCGAGGCGTGCGACGAGATGCGCGTGTATGTTGTCGCGGTGATGTTGCGGAAGAGCTCGTAGTAGGCGCCTTGGTCGTTCTCGACGATCACATGCGCGCCTTTGACGATCTCCATGAGCACCTTGGAGTGTTTGTTGAGCAGCTGCGTGTACAGCGTCGCGAGGATGATGCGCTCGACGTCGATCGTGGCCACGTTGCGGGCCGGCGCAATGGTCATGTCGACAAGGCCAGTACGATCTTCCGTCGGCACATAGTACTCGGCAGTCAGCATCGTGTTCATGAGCGAGTAGAGCGTCGACTCGAGCGTCATGCGCTGGAGCGCCGAGAAGAGAATGAGCGCGGACGCGACGACAATGGTCGAGAGCAGGTAGAAGAGCAGCTTGAGGCTGCCGTGGTGGTGGTGGTGGCGGCGCCGGCGCGGCTTGGGCGCGGCCTCTTGCACGGGCGAGACGTCGACCACCAGCGGTGCTACAACGTCGCACGGGCTCGCGTTCGGGCTCGGTGCCATCGTCGCCGGAATTCAGTGCAAGCGGCTGCAATCGGCCCACTGCCACGCAGTGCGATTGGCTCGTCTGCGCATCAATTTTTTAAACATTTCTATTTTATACGCGTGACCACATCATCTTGCGCTTTGTATGTCGCACGCGACCTGTCCCATGGTCCTCTTCCAAGCCGTGTACTATGACTATGGCGTGACGCGCGGCGACCGAGCCCCACGGCCTGCGCTGTACCGAGTCTGCATGGGCGCTTGATTGCGGCGCGGACAAACAGGTTGCTGCCCGCAGCGGCAACCAGCGTTCTGCCAGGCAACGAGTGGTGAAAGTTGGGTGCAAATAGCCGATCTTGTAGACAAATAGAAAAAAACACTACATTTTGAAAATGCTATGTCGCGGCTGTGACGTTATGGACGAACGTTATTTCTTCGTTTGGTTCGCACCGTTCACTGCATACAGCATACAACGAGGTAGCTGCAGAGTAAGTCTATAAAGGGTATGGACCCTCGCGCATTTTCTGGCTTGAACGCGGTCGCATTGGTCGTCGATCGCACGTCCATCGGTGCTTGCAGGGAACGCGCTCGTATGGCGGAATATGGCACCACGCGCTGTCTGCGCTGGCAAGATACCTTCGAACTTTGGTTGAAGTGCGTTTGATTGGTCCTTCAAGCGGCACGGCCGGGAAAAACTTCGATTTGGACCCGCCAAAAAAGATGTGTTGAATATTAATATTGAACATGTCTCTCAAATACATAGTCAATGCAAGCTACAATTTATTTCAAAGGATAAAAATGCGTATGGACGATCATCTTTGTTCGATATGGATTAAAAAGGGCGTGTGTTGTTCGTTTGAATCTGTGGGGGGTTGTGGCCGACGCCGCTTGCCATTCCTTCGTCATTTCCGAATCCGCGCCGACCATGAACAAGCTGCTCCTCGGACTCTACCTCCTCATGACGCTGGTCGCCATGGCCATGGCCGACCTCAACAAGACGGAGATCGCCGACGCCGGCAAGGACGGCGTCCACGCGCTCAACAAGACGCTCGGCGACCTCAACCAGACCGCGGCCGTCATTGACAAGCACATTGACGACTTCTTTGACATCTCGAACGCCGACACGACCGAGAAGGTGTGGAAGTCGGCGATCGTCCTCGCCATTGGTGCGGCGGGCTTTGTCGTCGGCGTCTTTGGCTACAAGCTCGTCAAGCCCGTGACGTTCATCTGCGGCTTTGGCGTCGCCGGTGTCTTTTGCCAGGCTGTCTTCTCGGCGCTCATCGCTGGCAAGGCCGTGCCCATCATTGCGTTCATCCTCGGCGGTCTCATCGGCGGTGCGCTCAGCGTCTACTTTTACCGCGCCGGTGTCTTCATCGTGGGCATCTTTGGCGGCATGGCGCTTGGCTTTGAGCTCTCGCAAATCGCGGGCGCGGGCAACACGGTCACCATCATCCTCGTGGTTGTCTCGGCGCTCGTTGTCGCCGGCCTCGTCCTCTACCTCGAGAAGCCGGTCATGATCATCTCGAGCTCGTTCTCGGGCGCGGCCATCGTCATCCGCGTCATTGGCTTCTTCGCCGGCAACTACCCGACGGGCACGGACTTTGCGAGCGAGACGGAGGCAGTCAAGAAGGCGTTCTGGTTCTACTTTGCCGGTCTTATCGTGCTCACGATCATCTACTCGATCGTCCAGTACCGCGTGACGGCCGTCGGCATCGACTATGGCCTCGGCAAGGACGCCAAGAAGGACGCCGAGAAGGCGCAGAAGGCCGCGCAGCCCAAGACGGGCACGCAGCCCGTCAACATGGTCTAAAGCCATCCATTCCGTTTTGACGTCTTTTGCTAATCACTGTAATGAACGCAGCTCTCTACTACGACTGACCACTAGTCTCTCTCGAGTCGTTTTGACGCGGTCGGAGGTGCGCCAGACAAATCGATGAACCGATCGCTCGCCAGAGTCGCTCAATGTACAAACATGAACCGGGGCGGAATGGGTGCGAACGCGATGCGCAGTGGCGTCTTGTCAGTGAAGGCAGAGGTGCCCAGTGGCCCGACCTGCACCCCACGAAGCGAGTACTCGAGATAGTGCAGCACGTGCAGTGCGCTGTCAACCGGCTTTGCGAACGGGTCCCACGACGCCCCTTCAAACTGAAACCACGAGTCGTTCCGTGCGGTCGTACCGACCAAGATCGTGTCGAGCAGCGGGCCTTGCGGCACAGCGTACTGCGGCGCGGCCGAGTAATGCGACGAGATGCGCGCGTACGCTTGGCCCGAGACGTTTTGGAGCAAATCGTAGTAGTAGCCGCGATCGTCGGCGACGACCACGTGCGCGCCGCGAAGAATCTCCATGAGGAGGTGGCTCTGTCGGTCGACGAGGTGCAAGTAGAGCGTGCCAAGCACCTTGCACTCGCTGTCAAGCATCGCCGACGACACGCGAGGCCGCTGGATGGCCGCGTGCACGAGACCGTTCTCGCCATGTAGCAAGGTGGCGTGACGGAGGTCCTGGACGACGCGGAGCAGTGTGGCCTCGAGCGACATGCGCTGCATGATCGAAACGACCATGCACGTCGTCATGCTACTGAGGAGAAGCAGAAGAAGGTACAAGAGCGGCAAGCGTCCGCGTCGCTGGTGTCTCTTTGGTGGAAGCAGCGCGCGATCGACGCTGGTCAGTGGCAGCGATCGCTGCTCGGGAAGCGGCATGCACGTGCACCGCGCGCCAAGAAGCGTCGTCTGTTCCACTGGTCCGCAACCGCTCGGACGCGGTTTCAAAATGGCGCGCCAACGCGCTGCCACGTCATGTGGCGATATTTTGAAACGGCGCTGTCGCGTGCACAAAGGCCGTTAAGAGCGCAGATGAGATTCAACAAGTACCCCGCATGCGGGAGTACCCTTTCATTCTCGCCATCGATCAGGCTGCTGGCAACATCAGTGGGTTCTAATATTGGTTCTTGACCTGACACCAAGACATGCTTAGGGTATTATACTGTGCCTGCATCTGCAGTCGGTACTCGGTGGTGACACGTCCACTCGTCGCTGAGCCAGCACAAGGAGCATCGAGGCACAATTGCCCTCGCCTAGGCAAAAGCCGTTTTGCTTGGACTTGGCGTCTGGAAATCCTGGTCTGGAAACAATCGGCCTCCAGATCTGGTATCCGGATATTGACAGCCGATCTCATCGATGAGTTGGTTGTGCAAGGAAGTTGAAGTTGATGGCCACGGCGTATACTCAACGCAAGTGCCACGTATCGTCCGGATACCGCATCCGCTGTTGTGGTGCACGGTCAAACGGTCAGATCGCCACCCGCTTGCTCGTCTCGACGATGGGCCACTCGACGCCGATCGCCGACATTGTCGACTGCCACCACCACTACTACGACGTCGACCGGCCGTGCTACCGCTTCCTTCACTCGCTCGGCGCGTCTTCGTACTTTCCAGAGCAGTACGCGGCGGAAGCGGGCGACCTTCCGATCCGCCGCACTATCCACATCGACGCGATGCCCGACGACGGCCTTGGCGAAGTCCAGTGGCTCGAGTCGCTGATCGCAGCCGGCCGGGCACCGACGCTCGCGGGTATCGTCGCCTCCTGCGACCTCTCGCAGCCGGACGTCGAGAGTCAGCTGCGCGCGCTGGTTACCGCCTCGTCGCGTGTCCGTGGCGTCCGCTTCATGCTCGACTACGACGGTCCGTTCGACGGCAAGAACGCAACCCACATCGCGTGCTCGCGCCATGACACGGACTTTCTTCGCGACACGAACGGCGCGGCCGAGCGCTTTGCGCGCGGGTACGCCCTCCTCGCAAAGTACAAACTGTCGTTTGACCTCCAGTGCTGCCCGGCGCAGCTCGAGGCCGCGGCGGGGCTGGCTGCCAAGCACCCAGGCGTGCCCGTGGTCATCGACCATCTCGGCAAGCTGCGCCGGCTCGCGCTCGACGGTGGTGCCGAGGACGCGGCCAAGCTCGCGCAGTGGCGCGCCGGGATGGCGGCGATGGCGGCGCTACCCCATGTCTACGTCAAGCTCTCGATGTTTGGCTACATGGTGCCGCAGTGGCACACAGATGCGGCGAAAGAGGCGTATCTGAAGACCCTCGTGTGCGAGGTCATCGATCTCTTTGGCGCTGATCGCTGCATGGTCGACTCCAACTGGCACCAGAACGGCGCCGCAGCCGACTCGGACGGTCTCGACGCGACGGGCCCGAGCATGGCCGAGCTGTTTGCCAAGGTGCAGTCGTGGGTTGCCGACTACGACGAGACGAGCCAGCAGCAGCTTTTTAGCTTGACGGCCGCTACGTTTTACCGCGTGTAATGCTACTGTGTCGATGTTCTAGTCGGTTCTTGCCAACGCACCAGAACGGGAGGATTCCTGCGCCACTGCCCCCTATCATGTGGCCAGAGCTCCATGTCTCGTCGGCGGCGACAGCTCCTTCGTACTGGTACTCGCACGCCGTCGAAGCGTCGTGAGTCATCGCAGGCGCCATCACCACCCAAGCCACCAGCATCTCGGTCGCGGACGCATCGCACCCGACATATTCGCTCCGGACAAGGCCACTTCCTGCAGGTGGTTGCACGACGGGTGCTCTGCCGCCAGCGTCGAGCGCATGCGTCTCGAGGCCAGTACATTCTCTATCGAAAGAAGCTGGTGGTCGTCGCGCCGTGCTGCAAGATGGCGCGCGTCGCGCAGACCGCCTGCACCAAGAGTCTGCAGCACCACCGCTATGGTTACTGTGCAAGAACCGGAGGAGAGGCCAGACGGGTGTGACATAAACGTCAAGTGGCACAGAAGGCCGCGCCCCTTCCGTTGCGACGGAGCTGCTTGAATCAGGTTGACGTTTCGGCACAGCGCCCAAGAAGATCGCCCAGTCTTGCTTTGCAGCCAGACAGAAATACAGTACTTGCGAGGTAGTAGTCGTATGTGCCCGACGGCGCCCGCCACGACGCTACTCGTGCTCGAGGCCATCACGGCCGTCGTCGTCGCCTGGCGCGTCGCCTACCACGTGCGCATCGAGAGCCATTGGCGCCGCACGACCCTGCACCTCGTACGTCGTCGCCTCATATCGTCTTGGTGTTGTTGACGCAGCGTAGGTGCTACTGCTCGCATGCATCGGGCGCCTCGTCTTTTGGCTTGGCCTCCGCGACGACGACGACGCGACAGGAGCCAATCGCTTTGCCATCGGGCTCGGGCTCCTCTGCGTCGCATGGGCTGCCACGTACGTATGCGTCACCGAGGTTGTTGTGCAATGGTCGACGGCCCTCGCCGCCGGCCGCGTCTCGCACGGCCAGCCCGCCTGCGCCAATCTCGGCGTCCACAGCCTCGTCGCGCTCAACGCCCTCCATGCGTTGACGCTTGTCGTCTGCCCGTTTCTCCTTCCGCGCAGTGCGTCGCGGGCGGACACGCTGCGCTTTCTCGACGACCATCCCGCGGCCGTGCGGTCGATTGCGATCGTGCACATTGCGACCGGCGTTGCTAATGCCGTCGCGACCGCCGTCGTCGGCGCGCAGCTGCAAGGCCGCGTCGGTGCGTCGACGCTCCGCCACAAGGACCGGTCCCAGCGCATGACGGTGCTCTTCACGCTCTCGCTGGTCCTGGCGCTCGGGCTCGACCTCGGGTACCTCCTCGCGCTTGCGCTGCGCGCCAACGCCGACGCGCTCGTTTGCGCGTCCAACGCGATTCCCATGATCTTTGTCTCGGGCGTGCTGGTCACGGCGACGTTCCTATATCTCATGCGGCGGCTGTTGCCCAAGACACCAGCGCGGCTCGTGACGAGTCCGGTCGAGACCGCGCGCTGCGACGCGGCAAGCAGCCAATACCTCTCGGGGCGCCAAACCAGCAACATCCTGCACAGCTACGCCCTCGAGGACGACGCGCCATCGTCGGTGCCACCGATCCCGATCATGGGCTACGGCTATGGCTATGATGCGCCAGCCGCTATCTTTTTGAGCGACGTAAGACGAGGCGATGTTGTTTAAGCTGCTACGCTGTTGCGGTCGCCGGACGCAGCGCACGGGCGACGTTGGGGAGCCCGTGGCCGTAAATGTTGTTGGGGTACTCGTCGTAGCTCGTGTTGCCGCAGCGCGACGGCACCAGAATCGGCTTGGAGAGCTTGTGGCTCGTCGTCGCCGCAAGCGCAGTGAGAACATGCGCTGGCACGCACGGCGCGGGCCCGGCCTTGCATCTACCATGTCGAGCGATGATATCGCCAGGCACGTTGGAGGATGAAGCGCAGTACTGCTGTAGAAGGATCGCCGCCGCACCCGAGACGTGCGGTGTCGCCATGGACGTGCCCGTCATGCGCGTAAACTTGGCGTCGTCGTAGCTCGCGGCCGATCGGATGGCGACGCCGGGCGCGACAAAGTCGGGCTTGACGGCGCCGCCCTTGCCAGGCCCTACTTATGCTAGTCGAATCGCTCGTAGAAGAAAGATCGACGAACTAAATACCTTTGCCGCTACCACCCCAGAGCGTCTGGGCGCCCACGAGTGCACCGACCGCAACTGCGTTTTGGAGGCAGCCCGGGCACAGGACCGAGCCGCATTCAAAGCCGTTGACATTGCCGCTAGCAAACACCTAGCCCTGGCATGAGCCAAGAGGAGAAGGACACAAAGCGTGGACGGGGAGGATGTGGGCGTGCGTCCACGCGTCGACCACTTTGTCCATCCAGTCGATCGAACTGTTGCCGCCAAACGAGTTGGAGACGACGTCGGCGCCGCGGTGGCAGTCGGGCGACGACCCATCCCAGGCCGTCGGGCACATGACCTAGATGGTTAGTTGATAGTCTAGTGTCGGGACGAGAGGTAGTACCCATTGCGCTGCGAGGAGGATGTCGCTTTGCTTGGCCGAGCCATCGGCGTTGAAGGGTCGGGCTGCGATCCACGTGGCCCCGGGCGCGACGCCGACGCCGTCAGCGCCAACCGCTGTTCCCAGCGTGTGCGTGCCGTGGCCCACTTCATCGGCATTGTCCGGCGTCAGCGTTTGGTTCTGCCCCGCCGCAAGCCAAAACGCATAGTCGTGCTGCCACGTGTGGCCATCGACATAGCCTAGTCAACGGTACAGCAGAACGGCCACGAGGTGCAAGTTCGTACCGCGGTACGACCGGGCGAGAATGCGGTGCGAGTACCGGACGCCCGAGTCGATGCTCGCGACGGTGACGCCCTTGCCGGTGAACCCGAGCGCCCACGCCTAGGCTCATTTGAGGCCATGATGACGATCGCCCTCGTACTTCATCAGCATGGAGGTTCTTGATGTTGGCCTGCGGGCTGCTCGCAAATGGCGCTGCCACGTCAATCGATGGGTTCATCTCGGGTGCGTCCAGGGTGCTGTCGCGCTCGGTCGCGTCCAGATGGATCGTCTCGTCGAGGTGCACGGCGCGGACACTCGGCAGCATCGCCAAGTGGCTTGCGACGCGTGACGTCGCGCCGCGCACGAGCATCGTGTTTTGGATCCAGAGCGGGATCATGGTCGCGAGCGCGAGGTCGGCGGCAACGCGGTCGGTTGCCGCAGCGACGGCCATGTCCCACACCGCATGTTGCTGCGTCGTGTGGCGCTGGTGCAGATGCGCATACACCATCGCCCTCGAGCCGACCGGCGTCGCCGCACTGCTGCCCATCGCCGTGATCGTCTCGTCCAAATGCACGAGCAGGTCGAGGCCTGTGGCCATGCGCGCGATGCCCAGCAGCGCCAGCATGCTTCGTCCGAGCCGGCCCATCGCGATCTTCTGCCCTCTTTTTTGACTGCTGTTCTTGGAACGTCCCATGAAATCCGGTCCCAAAGGTCGAGTATTTTAATGTCCTTTTAATGCCTCTCACATACAAACCATTAGTATAATGACCAATGACTATGAAAATAATATTGACCGCTTGCCCGAATATTCCGGCTGGAATTTGAAGCCCAGTCTCAATCGACAATTCGCACGGGATTACGCAAGCATGGACGGGCAGACGGGCATGAACAACCTCGTCTTCGTCGGCGGGTCCCTCGCGCTGCTCTTCTGTCTCTGGTACGCATCCAGCTACTGCTTCAAGGCGGACGCGGCTGGCCGCGCGACGCACGACGGCTACGTCGACCAAGGGTACGGTCACATTGCGTAGAGGTGCAACGGCTCACTACGCCGCGTAGGGTGCTCGAGTTCATGCCGACGCTTAAGCGTGGCGACATTGAAGAGATGTACGTCATGGCGTGGCGCCATCTAGCGGCTCATAGGACGTGCGTTCTAGGCTCCACGAGACCGAGCGCTGGGAGTGCACGGTCTGCGCCTTCCACAACGTCGTCGTCCGCACCACGTGCAGCCTCTGTGGCACCAAGAAAGGTACGACCTGCAGTGCCTCGCTGGTGCCAACGCGCCTGGATAGACTGCAAGTTTGTCGAGGAGAGCCAAGAGATCGACTACGCCAACGCGACGACCGTGTACATGGACGGCGAGGCCAACACGGTCTCGGCCGAGCGCCAGCGCCGCGCCAACCACAGCGCTTTGAGCGCGCAGACTACGCTCCTCGCACGTCAAAACAGTCTGAGCAAGCTCACGTCGTCGTACTACGTCAAGCAAATGTCGTCCTACTTTTTCAATATCGTGCTGCCCGAAGATCTCAACGCGCGCCAGCGCAGTGCGCGGTACACATCCTCACCTATGCGGCCAGTCTCCGAATGACGCGTCTAGGATGCGCAAGGAGTGGTCGCGCGGCCTCGACACGAACGGACTGCCCTACTGGAAGCGCCACTGCCTCGACGCCCGCCACGTCCCTGCTGCGTTCCTCATTCAGCTCGGTGGCACCATGGTCGACCATCGCACCTCGCCGCTTCGCTCATATCGCAGTGTAGAAGCACCGGTCATCGCCACCACCCTCGGACGCGGGCAAGGTCCCGTTCAAGTCGCTGCCGACACTCCAAGAAGAGATCGACCTCCTTGAAGATGCGACGTCGCAACAGCTGCACCGCGTCTCGATCCTCGACGACCTTGAATTGGGCAACATTGTGCGCGAGATCGGTCTCGTGCCGTTGGAGCTAGTGGACGCCACGCAGACCGTGATGGGCTCGTCGCTCTCGCCGAGCACGTGGGGCACGCTCACGTACCTTGCGAAGCGGTCGTTTAGCGTCAAGTACGCGTGGTTCCTCCACCAAGTCGCCGACCTCCTCATTCCATACACGACCGGGTATTTGAAAATGCGGACCAAGCGCGAGCATCTCTTGACCGAAGCCATGGAGAATCTGTTGAGTCTCCAAGACCAAGCGCTCTGCTCGATCATCCGCGTCGAGTTTGACAACGACGTGGGCATTGACGCCGGTGCAGTCTTGCGCGAGTGGTATGTGCTCGTCTCGGACGCGCTCCTGGCGCCGACGTCGGGCCTCTTTGTGCTCTCGAACCGCGACGACAACTCGTACATCCTCAACCCCAACTCGGAGTTTGCTGTCGGGTGCGATATTGCGCTATCCTCGTATAGCGAGAGGACTCAGAGAACGTGTAGGCAGTACAACATGGACCACTTGGCCGCGTTTGAAGCCATCGGACGCTTCCTTGGCCGCGCCATTCTCGACGGGCAAATGCTCAAGCTGCCCTTCTGCCCCGTGGTCTTTAAGGGTACGTCGTTCGCTGTGCCTATGTACGAAGGAGCTCATGGTGTCGGGTGCCATTAGCGATGCTTGGGGTGCCCGTCTCGATGGACGACGTTGAGAGCCTCGATCGTACGCTCTACAAGAGGTCCGCGCGTCGAGCTTGCTTGTGGCTCAGTAATACTTAGTTTGCGCTACCTCCTCGAGAACGACAACGCCGACGACCTGGCGCTGACCTTTTCCGTCTCGGAGCTCCGCGGCGAGAAGGTCGTTGAAATCGACTTGATCGAAGATGGCCAAGACATCCCTGTCACGGACGCCAACAAGCACGACTACGTCGACACGCTGGTACGCTTGATACGCTAAGCGAGGCGGTGCGAAGACGACGATGCGTAGGTGCGCTACCTGCTCTTTGAACGCATTGCGCCACAGCTGCACGCGCTCCTGCGTGGCCTCTACGCCATCGTGCCGCCCGAGCTGTTGATTCCGTTCGACCACAAGGAGGTACTGTCCTGCTCGAGGTATTTAGAGGTATGGTACTAATCGATGTGGCTAGTTGGAGCTCCTCATGACGGGGCTGGCCGAAATTGACGTCGCCGACTGGGAAGCCAACACGGAAACGTCGTCCAACCTCGACGGCTCCCGCGTCCTCGTGGTACGTTTACTCAGTCGAGAAGCATCGAGCTCAGAAGAGCGTAGTGGTTTTGGGAGGTGGTAAGAGACATGTCGGACGACGACCAAGCCAAGCTACTCCAGTTCTGCACCGGCTCATCGCGCGTGCCTGTCCAAGGCTTCAAAGGTACCTCAGATACGCCGTACAGTAGAAGCGAACACGAAGCTGGCGTAGGCTTGACGAGCTACGATGGACGCATTTGTAACTTCACACTCAAGGGCATGCCGTACCGGTCGGGCATGTACCCGGTCGCGCACGCATGCTTCAACCGCCTCGACCTGCCACTGTACCCCATGAAGGAGCTGCTGCAGGACGCGTTGGCGATGCTGCTGCTCTCGGACCCGACCGGCTTCAACATCCAGTAGACCCTTCTCTATTTTATTTGTCATTTATTGGAATTTCGGGTATTTTATTGTGGACCCTACCCGCGATCTGCGAAGCTCAAAACGTCAAACTCAAAAAGGGCGGAAACGGCTGGCGTCTATTTTGGATCGACAACATAGGACCGAGGTGCATGGAGGCAGCGACGCCGACGACCCGCGCGACCAGCGACGCCGACTCGCAGCCGACGACGATCGGGTCGACCTTGGGGCTCAGCGACGGCCTCGCATCACCCACCGCGAGCGATCTGCCCGCGACGCTCGAAGCCCGACAAAGCGGAAGATGCATCGGGCCGCTCAAGGAGCTCTACCTCCTCGTCCGGAGCGGGTCGGGCCAGCTGCTGCTGACGACGATCGTGGCGACGGCAGCCGCGTCCATCTTCTCCGTCGTGCTCTTCATTTGCGCCATCGCGTTCCGGGACAAGACCAACAACGGGCCGCTCCAGCTCCCGTCGGGCGTGCTTCTCGGGTCGATTGGTACGCTCATCATGTCGCTCCTCGTGCTGCTCTCGTACCGGTACCTCCCAGCCTGCCGCAACCACTCCAACATCCTCCTCCTCAACCGAAGGTATACGCATTCCCCTATGCCTGCCTCGTCTGCCATGATGCTAGCATCTGCGACCTCCTTCTCGCCGTCTCATTCTTGCTCGAACCGCTCTGGAACATGGCGGGCGGCGGTATCCAGCCCCACCTGTCGTGCCGATGGGTCCCAAAAGAGTAATGTGGCGATATATCAAGTTTCTTTGCGTAGCTCTCGGCGACGCGCGAGTACTTGATCATGGCGTCCATGTGCTGGGAACTTTGCATGGCGCTTGACCTCTTTGCTCTCGTACACTACATTTGTCTTCTCTACTACCCGCGCGGGAGACATCTCATCGGACCATTGTCGTATTAGCTCAACGACCCGTTCACGTCGCCGCGCAAGAACCGGCGCAAGTACCAGCTGATCGTCCATGCGTCGGGTACGGTGTCTGGAGGAAGATGCGGTCTGAGAAGCCTCGCAGGGCTCGTGGCGGCGATCGTCATGCTCTCGGACGACCGCTTCTACGGTGTCTCGGTCGGTGACTTTTGCTGGGTCAAGTGCAGCCGCCTCGCCAGCAGCAGCTTTGTGGCGGTCGATGCTGGCATCTGGGTCTTTATCGCGCTGCCCGTGACCATCTTTATTGGCACCAACGTCTACGTCTGCACCATCTCGATGAAGCGGTGGGCGCTATATATGTACATTTTGGAGTCAAACCGGGATTAGGTTTCGGGGTGGCATTGAAGCCACTCTGGACCACCGCCGGACGCTTCTCCGCGAAGGCTTCTTGACTACCGTCGCGTTCATCTTGTACTGGATGGTGCTCTGGGGTCTCTACGTGGCCTTTTGGCTCGCAACGAACAACGACGTGCTCAAGGAGCTCTTTGGCTTTCTCCTCTCGTTCCGGGGCAGCGTCGTCTTCTTCCTCTGGATCCTCTACAGCACGAGCGACAAAAACATCAAGCAGGTTCAATTCCCAGCCACGCATTGGAGTGGATTCTGACCCAACCTCGAACCTCTAGTCGGTGGCCGAGAGAGAAGACGCAACTCGAGCGCAAACCAACTATGCACTTTTGAAAGAGCTGGTGTTTTACACCACGTGCGGCATCACAAAAGCCGTCCAAGTCGCCAACAAGCGGTTCGAACCCCACCTTTTCTGCCATTTTATAACTTTTTGTTTTTTGTTTGGTGCTGTAGCCAGTCGCTCGAGCTCGGTGAAGCGTCCATCTTCACCGTGCACCCGCCGCAGCACGAGCACGCGCTCTTCTCGTGCCAAGAATGCAAGTTTACCGACTTCAAACCCGAAGTGTTTGGCAAGCTCCGCGAGTGCTTTAGCATCGACGAACGCCAATTTATTTCGTCCTTTGCCGACTGCAGCATCCCCAAAGTCTCGGAAGGCTCGAGCGGCGCCTTCATGTTCTTCACAACCAACGGCGCGTACATCGTCAAGAGCCTCACGAAGCGCGAGAGCACCTTCTTGGACAGCATTACCGATGCGTACGCGGCCTACGTCAGCAAACACCCCATGACGTTCTTGACGCGGATCCTCGGAAGCTACTCGATGGAGCTCTACGGCCGGGTACGTCGCTTCCAAGATGACGCTAGTGTTTAATATCAAGGTGTCAAGACGTCCTATTTCGTCGTCATGGAGAACCTCTTCGACAAGCAGCACGCGGTGCACCACCGGTACGACATCAAAGGCTCGTGGGTCGACCGGAACGCCGAGAAGGCGCGGTATGGCGCCGAAGCCACGTGTCGGTACGTCACCTTGCACGCGGTAGACGCTGGTAGATATGGACACGGTAGGTACTGCAACATGGCGTTTCGAAGCGGTGCGCGCGATACGTGCCCCAACCGCGCGGGCTTTCACTCGCCCAACGTCGTGCTCAAGGACATGGACTTGACAACCAAGGTCGCCGTGATCCTATTATGGGTTGCGTCATCCCAAGCGTAGGTCCGCCTCGGGCACGGACACGGCGCCGCTGTGCTCACGCAGCTCAAGAAAGACAGCGATTTCCTCTGCGAGAAAGGCATCATGGACTACAGTCTCCTCCTCGGTGTCATTGAAGTGCGCTTCCAAGTCAACGTCCAGAGCATCTTGCGCGATGAGATCGACACGCTGCCATTGCCGTCCCTCGACGTCCTCAGCGCCGTCTCGACGATGCGCACGTCGCAGCGCGCGGTCGCCAAGCAGTCGATCGCGTGCCTTCGGTCCGCCGATGTCGTTGTCGGCCCGGGCTTTTACTACATTGGCTTGATCGACATTCTGCAAACGTGGACGCTCGAGAAGCGGTTCGAGCGGTGGGTCAAGACGCTGCTACTGCGCAAGGACCCAGACGGCATCTCGGCGCTGCCGCCCAAGGCCTACCGGTACCATCCCACCACTTTAAAGCAAACGATTCACACGGTGTCGATGGTGTAGCGACCGGTTCCATAAGCGTCTCGACGAGATCTTCCATGTCAGCGGCGCTGATGGCCCGTCGCCGCTCGACGTGACGACCAACGCGGACGCTTCGCTGCCGACTAATGCCAAGATCTTTCCGGTCGAGTCGGTCGTCAACGAGCTCAAGCCGTCGTTTAGCTTCCGGAACAACGTGTGGCAAACCGACGAAGCGCTTGACGATGCGATCGGGCGCTCGGTCGTCAAAACCGACGTCGATGGCACCGAAGCGTCGGGTCGCGTCGACGTATAACGTCACATTCTTCTTACTCGATACTCCCAATTCAGTATATGAACGTACTCCCAACCTGCAAAAGGTCTCTCCTTGGGTGGACCAGATATCTGCGTGTTCTACGTCGCACCAAGGCATCGAACCTTTATGGCCTCGGTAGCAATGACAATATTCTCCACACGCTAATTGGGCACGCATTATGTCGAGGACATGTGTAGTTTGTGTACAAATTGCACTATCGCAAAAGAAGTGATCATTCTCTTGGTCATGTAGCAGTCAAGTCCGGATAAACACAATCGCAGTGTCCGGATACAGAGCAAAGTGCAAAGAGAGTGCAAGAGCGTCATGCATGACCTTCCGGAGCGTCGTGCTCCAGCCCGAGATCGCATCGATGGTGTTTGAGTTTCAGTTTGGGTTGTATGAAGACGTGCGCGCCGCCTTTGTCGCGTGCAACGAGCTCGTTGAGTTTGACGCGACGAAATCCTTGTACGCGTGCGACAAGGCATTCGCCAACGCGTTTGCGCCCAACACTGCGTGGCCCGGATTCCCGCCCAGTCGTCCGTCGCTGTATGCTCTGCTCAACACTGAGCGCGACGACCGCCTTCCGCTGCATCTGGCCATCGTCGGAGGCTTTGTGCAGCTGGCCAAACGCATGTTTCAGTGCCGCCCCGACCTCGCCTCGGAGGACGCGATCGTCCTCAGCTTCGTCAGCGACCGCCTCGACCTTGTCGAATTCTTACTGGAGCGGCGGGCCCAGGTACCAGAGCTGCGCCGGCGTAGAATCAACCCCCCAGGTGCGTTGCGCAGCACTACATTCTGTCGTGAAAGCACAATGCTGTAGGTACGCCGATGCAACGACGCATGGCGTCCGTGTATCAGTGCTGGCTGTCCCCACTGCTCGCCAGAGAGGACACGAGAGGGGTGGAGCTGCTTCGCGTCTTTGATCCAAGCCTCGACGAGTGGAGTCCCCACGAGCGCTGGCATGCACTGCGCAGCGCTTCGCTCGAGAACGCAGTTTTAGCCCTCGAGTGCTTCCCTTGGCTGCTCTACCCGCGCATCATGGACGATGCCGCGCACAGAGGCTTCTTGCCGCTCGTGCAAACGCTGCACGAACGCGGTGTCGCATGCTCGACGAATGCGATGGATTATGCGGCGGCCAACGGCCACTTAGAGATCATCGCCTTCCTGCATGCGCACCGACGTGAGGGATGCACGGTGGAAGCGATGAACGCCGCCGCCGCCAACGGCCATTTAGAGATTATTGCCTTCCTGCATGCGCACCGACGTGAGGGGTGCACGGTGGAAGCGATGAACGATGCGGCGGCCAACGGCCACGTCAACGTCGTTGAGTTTCTTCAGCGCCATCGGACGGAAGGCTGCACCACAAGTGCGCTCACGCACTCGATTACCCAAGGCCACCTCAACGTAGTCCGCTTCCTCGTCGAGCTTGGCATTCAGGGCGCGTAGACCCACATGCTTGACATTGCCGCCAACAACGGGCACCTTGCTGTCGTCCAGTACCTCCATACACTCGGTTCGTTTACCTGTACCGTCGACGCCGTCGATCGCGCTGCGTCCGCCGGCCACCACGACGTCGTCGCATTCCTCTTGACGCATCGAAGCGAAGGCTGCACCGTCGATGCCGTCGTGCAAAAAGCGCTCCAAGGAGGACATTTACGCACGGTACAGTACCTCGTCTCGCGTGGGTACCCGATGCCGACGCAACTGGTTCGGTTGCGTGAAGGAGCATGGCGCAAGCCCGAAATCACTGGAATTCTCGAACTTCTTGCAGCCCACGGCACCCCGTGGAGCGCCGACTGGCTCGAACTAGCGTGCATGGACGACAACGTGCTCCTATTTCAGTTTTGCCACAAGCACGCGATCGCTGCCTGTGGCCCCGAAGCGCTCGACGAGGCGGTTGAGTACGGAGCGTGGGGCATCGCCGCCTATCTTATGGTCCATGGCGCAGCTGCTATCTCAGCGAAAGCGCTCGCATCAACGATGCGCAGCGGACGCCTCGATCTCGCGGTGCACATGCTGCAGCGTCAGCCAGAGCTCCGCCATGACACGCTTCTTCAAGTGGCGGTGAGTGACCACAACGCAGAGGTAATGCGGTACCTCCTCGCTGCCGGCATTGGCCAACCGCGCGACTGCCTCCGTCAGATTGCAGGACGTCGACAGCACGTGAGCGAGAGCAGACTTTTACTGTCCTACTGCATGCACGCGACGAGCCATCTTGACAACATCAGCTTTCTTCTCGACCTCATTGCACTGCCTGACCGCCACCACAAGACGACGCTCCAGCTGCTCACGCCCGAGCTGACGCACCAAGCACGTAAGGCCAGCAGCTCTCTTGAAGTAGCCCCACGCGTGGCACCGCGAGCGACAACGCTGCTGCAGGCGGGGGAAGTCGTCGATGCGGCGTTAGCTCTCATCCTTGGTCCTCTCGGGTCGACGGACGCGACAATCACGCCCGAGCGACTGGAGACACGGACAAGAATGGTCCATGGTATGGAGCTCCAGACGGAGCTCCCAAGTCTACTCTCGAGGAAACGTAAATGACCGACTGACAAAATGGAAGGTGCGACAATGGCTAATTCGATCGGGGAAAAGGTGTGCATAGGAGAGGTTTAGAAGCATCGTCTTGTCATTCAAAGCTTGGGCAACGGAGTGGAGGGATGTGTCGATGGAAGCTCGTCACCCTACAGAATACGAAACGAAGACACATCGTCTGCACTAGTACGCGTACGAGTGCCATTATTGGCCAAGAAAATAGAGTCGTTTTCGCATAAAAGTCTCTACTTAGGGAAAGGGTTACGACTCGTCACCCCTCGTGGTCATCGTCCAAGATGTCTGCGTGCAATATGTGGGCCTGCACTGATCGTGGTCTCTCACGCGTCTGCCCCACGTCGAGTGCTCCATGACAATGATAAATACATATATATATATATTGTACAACAAAACAACGACGACAACATACGACGCGAATCACGCCAGCGGCACCTTGGCGAGGCGCTTGGCGAGCGCCTTCTTGTGGTTGCGCACGGCCGCGACGCGGTGGTCGGGGCACATTTTGTAAAAGGCGCCGCTTCGCTTTCGGCTGCACGGCTGCCGGCACTTGCCGTTGCGGTACGAGCATCTTCTTTGGTCCTCGAACAGCGTCGGGAGGCGGTCGAGAAGGTCGAAAATCGCGCCCACATCATACGAAGGGCCCTCGATAAAATGCAATTCCATTGCGCCCTCGAGGTCATCGATGCGTGCGACGGCCTCGTCTTCAATGACGTCGATGGCGTCACCGTTCTCGAGCATCGCGTCGTCCTCGTCCGCGAGCGGCGGCAAGAGCGCGTCAATGTCGTCGGCGTCGTACTCGGTGAGCGGGAAGAGCGACGAAGCTACCTCGTCGCGCGGCCGCAAGAACGGAATTTCGCACAAGAACGCAATGTCGTCGGCCGTAAACGTGCAACCAGTGAGCGCCATTTGGCCAATCTGAAAATGAACGTTGGATTTTCCTCCAAAAGTACTATGGGATACGGTGCAGCTTCTCCCTTCTCGACTCTCCATTCTGTATTCTGCATTCTCAATCTTGTATTCTCAACCCACCATCGCTTTTGGCCACGACCACGAGATTGCTTTTGCAAGTTTGCAGTGCTGGACGAACGCCATTCGCGGGTCCAAGACTTCGACTGAGTTAATAAGGGAGCGGCAGACTCGCTGCACTATCAAAGGACAAATGCACCATTTCGACCAAGTCGGCTGGGGCTGGTACATGCTAATAGCAGCAGCACCGCTCTGGCATCTCATTTTGCGCGCCAAGCAATAGACAAGCCAGTAACCTCTACAATATAATACGCACCCGGATGCAATCGAGTTTCCGAGGTCATCATCAGCGATGGCCGCCCGAAGCGCCGCCATGCCGGGCGACAGCGGTGCAGTTGACATCGACCTCCAGCTGCTCATGCTCATGCTCCTTCTAGTGTCCTTTGAAGCGCTCGTGGAGAAGCAGTGGTCGGCGACGGCGCCGACGCCCGCGGGCCGCCACGTGCCCAAGAAGCCCTTCCTCAAGAAAGGAGCGCGTGGGTGGTGGAAGGACAACATCCCGGCCAAGAGGAAACCCTACGTCTTGACGAGCGAGGGCCATGAGCTCTCGGCGCCAGCCGCGGCTGCTCCGCGCCCGAGCGCTCCAAGTACGGCGGCCGCAAAGAGCCGCGCCGACACCTCGATGCGGTCCGAGCCATCCATGGACCTCATGCAATCGTACGACTGGAAGATGCAGCAGGATGCAGACGACCTCGAAGAGTTCGAGTACCTCGAGCAAGCGATGCTCGCGCAGTCGAGCCCGGCGAAAGACTCGTTTCTTGACGAATACGAAGATGGCCGCCTGGCGCCGGAGCTCCTGCCGCGCCAGGACGACGAGTACGCGCCCGCGTGGGAGAAGGCGTTGTACGGCTCCGAGGACAATGCAGACGACTCGCTCCTGTTTGACGAGTGGCGCAAAGGTATCCTCAAGAACGACGAGCCCGAACTTCAATTTTCCTCGATTCACGTGCCGGCGCCCGAAGAGAACGTCGACCAGGCTTTGCACTATGGCAGCCTCAACATGAGCGAGCTCAGCGTCGCCGACTCGGAGCCGTGGGACGTCGACATCTCCCGTCCCCTTGAAGCCCACCGCGCGCAGGAGGACGCCCCTGCCCCGCCAGCTTCGCCGCCCGCGCCGTCCCTCGTCCAGCAACTCTTCCAGAAGCCGCCACCGGCAGCCGCGAGCAAGCCGCCGCCTCCGACATCGTCGCTGCAGACGCTCAAGCTCAAGCTGCAGCAAAAGGCCACCGTGGCGCCCAAGCCAAAGCCAGCAAAAGCCACCATGCCGCCAAAGAAGAAGGCAGAGCCGACGCCATCTCGTACACCGGCGCCGGCACCAACTTCGATCATCCCGTCCGTCATTGACGACAAGGTACGGTGCCAGGTCATGCGTCGACGTCATCCGTACGCTGCGTAGCTCCAGGAGCTCGAAAACGAGGTCAAGCACTACAAACAAGAGACGCTCAAGCTCCAAAAGCGTCGCGAAGCTCTTGAAGCCGACCAGCGCAAGCTCGATGTCGCGAGGTAGCTCGCGTTCTCCCGTCATCCTTCTCTTAAGGCGCGTAGGCAAGACTGGCTACAAGAGAAGAAACGGGCGCAGGACGAGCTCGAGACCGAGTGGAAGCAGGTGCGCAAGGAGAAGCGCAGCCTGGACCAGACGCTAAAGATGGGCGTCGGACTCCTTCCCGACCGCAAGTACCGTCGACGCGCGGGTTCCTACATTGATAGGGAGCGATCTATGCATAGGGAGCGCGCAGAGGTCGATGCGCTCAAAGCCCAAATCGTCAAGATGAAGGTGCGTGCGTCCGTCTCCGTCATCCAAGTGACGTCGCCGATTGTAGATGGACGAGGCAGCCAAAGCCAACAAGCAGAAAGCCACGATGGAGTTTTTCCGCCAGCGCATTGCGGTCGGCAGCCATATCCTACCGTCGCCAACGCTCACAATATAGGACGTAGGAGCTCGAAGTACGCAACCAAGAGCTGCGGGATGAGCTCAAGTTTATGGAGCAAGAACGACTGGCACACTGGAACTGGTCACCCGAGCCATCGGCATCAACAACGGCGACAACAGCCAAGAGGCCGCCTTCAGAGCCAACCGAGGACGACGACGTATATGACCCCCACGTGTACCAAGACCGTCCCGTGCGCGCCGTGACGCCGGATCTCCTCGACACGTCGCGGTCCAGCAAAGATGACGTGCTCGGGTGGCAGTCGAGCTCCATGGCGGCACTTGCATCGTCCGGCTCCCATGCGTACGACGCGTCCGGAGTCGTGCCGCCGCCGCCCGCCGAGCCACCCGCCGCCGTCGTTCCATCCCCAAAGAAGAAGAAGGAGACGCCGTCCTTCGAAGAGATTCGGCACCCCAAGGGCAAGCTGGAGCGGCGCTTTGCCATGGGCCCGATCGCCAAGACGTTTGTGTTTGCCAATGGCACCGAGAAGGACGTGTTTGTCGACGGCCACTCGGTCGTGCGCTTCGCCAACGGCGACATCAAAGAGGTCTGTCCGTCATATGACAAGTTGGACACTCACGCCGCATGATGCTAGACCTATGCGGACAAAACCCTTTACTACTACGCTGCCGCGCAGACCACGCACACGACGCTCTCGGACGGAACTCAGATCTTTGAGTTTCCGAATCAGCAGGTAGACCACTCAGAACAGAGCCATTATGACGAAGCGACGTAGGTCGAGACGCACTATGCGTCGGGGGCCAAGGAAATCTCGTTTGTCGATGGCACCACCAAGCGCATCGAGGTCAATGGCGACGAGGTGAGTCTCTTCCCGGATGGCACACGCATGCTCGAGCAAGCCAACGGCTTTCGCGAAGTCACCAACCCGGATGGCACCAAAGCCCGCGACTACCCCGACGGTACATGACACAGCATCGCTCGTGGCTCATGGGCGCACTAGGTCGCACGACATGGGTCACCGCCGCCGGCGTCGAGACAGCCGTGCTTCCTGTGCCGCAAAAGCTCGGGCTGTCACCCAACGCTGTTAATCGTCGCCAATAGATCTAGTCCTATGAGCTATCTGTCACTCTATCGCCATCAGGCCTGCAGTCCTGGCGCTCTTCTTGGAGCCCTCGCGTCTGCCTGCGGCGATCATCATGTCTTCTAGGTCCGTGGTATCAGCAGCCGTCGGGTCCTCGTCAGTGGCGGATCTGCCTGCCTCTACTTCGCCGCTGGCGGCCATGTCGACATCGCTCTCTCTCCTGCAAGAGGCCATCCTCCTGCAGTCCTCCTCCGGATCTGCCATGTCCTCGAGCCGACGTCGCTGGTCGTCGAGCGTTCTGTCTGCCGGTGGCCGCCATGGATCGTCCGGATAAGCATATACATTGTGGGAGGTTGGTGCAGTGACTGGTGGGATGTATGAGTCGTATCCGGATGCAATCCATTGGCTGGCCATCGCTGAAAATGAAAGTGCAAACTCAATTGGGACCATAGTTCTCCTTTTGACCGTTTAACAAGAAGCTAACCATGCCCCGCGGTCCTCGCCACCACCTCAAGCGCATGAGCGCCCCCAAGCACTGGATGCTCGGCAAGCTCGATGGCATCTGGGCGCCCCGCCCGTCGTCGGGCCCCCACAAGCTCCGTGAGTGCTTGCCCCTGATCATCATCATCCGCAACCGCCTCAAGTACGCCTTGACCAAGCAGGAAGTCACGATGATCTGCATGCAGAAGCTCGTCAAGGTTGACGGCAAGACGCGTGTCGACCCCAACTTCCCGGCTGGCTTCATGGACGTCGTCGAGATCACCAAGTCGGGCGATGTGTTCCGCCTCCTCTACGACACCAAGGGCCGCTTCGTCCTCCACCGCATCAACGAGGAGGAGAAGAAGTACAAGCTCGCCAAGGTCACGCGCCAGGAGTTCACGGCCAAGCAGATCCCGTACGTCGCCACCAGCGACGGCCGCACGATCCGCTACGCCGACCCGCTCATCAAGGTCAACGACACGGTCAAGATCGACATCGAGACGGGCAAGGTCGTCGACTTCATCAAGTTCGAGACGGGCGCCATGGTCATGATCACGCGCGGCCGCAACGCTGGCCGTGTCGGTATCCTCCACCACATCGAAAGGTATGAACACACCCGTTGACTCTACGAGCTGGGTGTGATGGTACTCCCATTGCAACACACACGCCTCTCCTCGCCATACCTCATGGCCTCGCCCTCGACAGCAGAGACTCATGACGCTCCTTGTATAGACACGCGGGTTCGTTCAACATTGCCCACATCAAGGACACGACCGGTGCCGAGTTCGCCACGCGCCAGGGCAACGTCTTCGCTGTCGGCAAGGACGGCCGCCCGTGGGTCTCGCTCCCCAAGGGCAAGGGCGTCAAGCTCTCGATCCTTGAGGAACGCAGCTTGCGTGAGCAGAAGGCCGCCGCCAAGCACTAAGCAATTAGTGCCGGCGTGCGCCATGCATTATGGCCTCCAATAATGCATAATAAAGGAGAACAAGGTTATAGCCAACGACTATTCTGTTCATTAGACTCGACTGGCCTTGGTGAGGACGCTACACTCTACAGTCGATCGCTGTGATCATAGGAGCTGGCATGCATGATTTCAAAAGGGAAAGATTTGGCCGCAGTTGGAGATGAGCACGGCTTGCTTGGGCTGGCCGCTCTCGGTGGCTGTGAGCTGCTGGAGCAGCCCGAGCGTCTCAAAGCTCCGCTCGCCAATGAGGCTGCCGACAACGACGTTCTTGTTGTCGAGCCATGGCGCCTACAGGAAGCTTGCTTGGCTTGGTCGCAACTGTGTAGTCGTACAGAGGCAAAGAGGATGCTGAAGCGGGATCCGTTCGAGTCGGGGCCGGCGTTGACCATCGAGACCGTGCCAGGACCCACATGCTACGCACGATTCGTGGTCGCACACATGGTCGATGGCCGCTCTATCGCTGTCGTACCCGCAAGAGAAAATTCTCATCTTCAAAGAGGCGCGTAGGGTATATGGACGTGCCGCCGTTGCCATCAATGTCGCCGGCCTGGAGGTGCGAGTCGAGGACGATGCGGCCAATGGGTCTAGAGCATCATGATCGTTGCTACGAAGAGGGTACGCGTCGTACGTGCCAAGGTAGTGCAAGGCGCGGCCACGTGCGTCCTTGCAGTCGCCCGTGCAGAGCGCGCGAAAGTTCTCAGCTGCCTTGGGCACCACGTCAGCGCGAACCTACGACTCGAAATGTGCAAAGTCGCGCCACATCGCGAGGGCACCTCGATGAGCATGCGCCCAATGAACTGCTTGGCGACGGTGATGTCGAGGAAGACGACGGGGTTCTCGCGCCGACTGCCCTTGGCTTTGGGCATACCACGATGTTGATAGCTGGTGAAACTGCCGTCGACGACGTGGCGGCAGCGCTGTGCAAGGCGAGGAGGACCACGAAGTAGCTTCTCTTCAAGATCGTACAACTAGCCAACGTCTTCCAGAGAGCGCCGGTCAATGCTGGAGCGGCGTTGCCACCCGTGGTGCATGCACACGACACGTCGACGGCATGCTCGACAAGAAAAGACCGTAGATCTTGCAAGCGGCAAACGTGGCGGAAGGGTAGCCCACCACTGCTCCCATCAATCTATGTGCGCTCGGTTCAATGTCAAGCCGCCTTCCTCCGACTACTTAGGTACGTGTGAGCGTACATTTACGAGGATGCGATGTGACGGAGCGCTGCAACTGAGGAAGTGGAGAATAGCAACAGACTGGTGACTCACACGAGTGGAAATAACGCCGAAACAGGTCGATTTGGTGGTTTAAAGTGCTACGCTACTGGAGGTTGGATGTATCAGTTTGCAGTTAAAAAGTGTAATTTTTGTTCTTCACCGAGAATCTCAGGGGATTGACAGAAATTGGTTTCTCCTCATCTACATCCACGACTCCTAAGTCTACGAAATATCTAGATACTGGAAACAGATCAGAGAGGTAAAGCGAATCTCGAGTATCGGCATCCTTCCGAAGAAGTAAGTTGACCGTCGTGAAACGTAGAGTTGAGTTCATCACTCTGTTCCGACTACACTATATCACTAGCTACTTGCTCGATGGCTGGCAAATTCCAAACTGAGCTAACTGTTGCACATGGCGTCACCATCGAAAATTGACTGGCGGAGACACCCCGCGTTTTCATTGGCTAAAATTCCGGAATTTCGGTTTTTGGCGCCAACGGTTGTCGAAGGAGTCTCCGCGACGACTACACTTGTGGTTCCACGAGGCCAACCGTTCGTAGGACCACGCGATGCTGCTGCTGCGATAGCTAACAGTTCTACTACATAGCTGTACTATCAAGCTAACCGTGTATTTTTATGATTGGAGATGCACGCAGCACAGCAGCCAGAAGCGCTTTGGTATCTCCTTGTAGAAAGTGCAGAGGACGAGTTCAAAATGGCAAAGCTCGACCTGGCAGGACCGTGATGCGTCGAGAGAGGTCCAAGCAACTACAAGGAACGGCACTGCGATCGTCCCCTTGGAGTAGCAACGCCAGGCGCCTTTGCATTAGCTAAGGTGTCAAGCCAACGAAGCAAGAGAAATGGCGCCCTCGCAAGTCGTTGCGATATAAGAATAGCCAAGGAGCTACCCAGCATTAGCCGCTCTACACCAGGCAGACGCATGACGGAGCCGGCGAGAAAGTCCAAGGTCAAGAAGAGCGTACGCTGCAAGCTCCGAGTCGCTCGCTATAGCCGTTCGCGCTTCTTCTCGTAGGCCAACCACGTGTACATCACAGAGCGCACGCGCGTACGACTGCCCTTCGTCCTTGCCGCCTTGTCGCTTCACTCGTATTAGTACTACAAGACGGACGTGCCGACCGTCGACGTGCTCGTGGAAGCCGCCAAGCTGCAGCGCAAGCTCGACCACGCCCGCGAGCTTGGCAAGGACCCGCGTACACTCAACTTCATTCGACCTCGTGCATACCATTTCATCCTATCGCAAATGTAGACAACACGGAGGCGTGGAAGCTCGAGGCGCAAGCGCTCACGCAGCTCGGGCAGCTGGAGAAGTGGCAAGGCCGCGACGCCGCCGGCGATGCGTACAAAGCAGATCGGTCTCATGTATATTGATGCAGAAATACATATGCGTAGCTTCATGACGCAAGCCGCGCGCGTCTGCCGAATGAACACGTTCAATAAGCGGCTCTAAGACACCACATTCTTGTTCGTCTTGGCGCGCACGAGCGACTCGATGGTCGTCACGAGGCTGCCCACGCGTTGCACCTACACACTCACGTCGTAGAGTCCATGCGGGAGCTACGCTTGTACCTTGGCGTCGAGGTCGTCGAGGACGGCACTGCGCTTGGCGTGCGCCGCGACAAGCAGCGGCACCACCGACTCCCCCTTCCACTCGCGCACTAGTTGAAGTCCCATCGTCCCCGTAGGCTCAGTCTTTGTTCCAAGTGTACCTTTGCCGACAACATCGTCGCCGTCGGTAATCGCGCCGAGCCGGAGTTCGCGCACCTGGGATGCAAGACATCGTCTCCATACTCGAGACGACGACACGACCGATACCTTTTGCATGTACTTGAAGAGCGCGCGGTCCGCCGAGTGCGTCGCCTTGTTGGCTTTCTCGAGCTTGTGCCGGCGCCACGCGGCTTTGATGAGGTTCACGGCGGCGTCCAGTCGCGACTTCTGCCAGCGCTTGTAGCGCACAACGTACAGGACCCGCTCTTCGCCAAACGTGGTTTGGAGCGACCCCATGAAGAGCGACGTGAGCATTGAAATGACCTACTTGCGTGCATCAACGCCAGATCACGGAGGGCGTCGTACGATGGTGCCGCCAATGATGCCACCGAGGACCGTGAGGAAGCGGCCGCCGCGCGTGCGGGCGTAGTAATCCCCGTACCCGACGGTCGCCATCGTCACGACAATGAGCCACGAGGACGTCAGATCCGAGTCGAGCGCCGACGGGATGCTACGCTCCATGACCGAGACGCCCGCGGCCGTCGCGAGCCACGTCACGAGCGTGCAAAACACAAACGCAAACACTAGTCGCCGCTTCAAACCTCGGCAATACCACATTTCAAACGACTTTCGTACCAGGACGGTGGTGAAAGATCGCGCGAAAGTGCCAGAGCGGCGAGTCGGTGCTCACGTTGTGGAGCGACCCGAGGAAGTCGACGCGCTGGCCGTAAAACCCAGAGTGGTTCCGGACAAGGCGCACAATCCAGTAGAGCCGCACGAGCATGACGAGCCCGAGCGTCTCGACGGGGTACCGTAGGCGGTAGTAGCACCCGCCGTCGAGCCGGAGCATCTGACAACGACAAACGTTGCGTCTCGACACGATATATCGCAGCGTACCGGTAGCGTGCACGTCGACGCGTCGAATTGAAACTCGTCGAGCACGACAAAGCCCGTGATGAACGGCGGGACGATCCACAAATTCGCCATCAGCTCGGCCACGAGCGTCAACCGCGTCGCTGGGTGGCGCCACAAGGTCGCACACGCCGGCACTTGGTGCCGAAGCTTTGCGATTTGCAGCGTCAGCTGCGTGCGCGTCACGAGCTGCGACGCGAGCACGAGCGTCGAGACCAAGATGACCACACTGTACGTTTGGCCGGGTGCCGATAGCTACGCGAAGGCGTCCGCTTCCTGAAGAAGAGAGGTGCGCGTACCGCATTGCGAGGGTACGTGATGTGCCCAAAGACAACGTCCACTAGAGACACATGTGGTCCAGTTCCGCATCTTTGACTGCATGTACCTTCCCAGATCGAATGCAGCTGGAAGAGCATGAGGAGCAGTCCCAGCATCGCGAGCGTGATGCACACGCCGTCAACGTGCTTTCGAAGCGCGTAGAGGTGTTTGATGGACGCTAATTGACGCAGCGCTACGCAGCGACCATGTAATTTTTTCAACAAACAAGACGATCGCACCCTCGCTGGCGACCGCCGTGAGCGCCGAGCTCTGGAGCTGCGCGCTGTACGTCGTGGCTTTGACCCCTTGCATGTGCACGGCCACCGTGAAGCGGCTGTCTTCCGTCCACGCCTACAGAGCACAGAATCAACGACGCCCGTCAACGTCCGAACGACGTACGAGACGAAAGAAGAGGAAGAGCGCGATGAGCGTGATGTACAAGGCGGGCATTTGGTCAAAGACGGGCCAGCCAAAGTGGCGCCCGACAGTCGGCTCGGTCGAGAGCCCTATCTCAACGCATATGCCGACGTCGAAAACGCGTATCCCAGTAGATACCCGTGGCGTTGATGGGGAGCGTATAGCAGAGCGCACCACATGCACGCGCAGCAAGCCACGTTGCGTTGGTGATGGAGAGGATCCGGTGCGTCGACGGGTCCGTCACTTGGCCGTACGACGCAGGCTCGTAGTTGAGCTGCTGGCCAAAGACCCACATGTCCAGCGGTAGCATCCAGAGCTACTCCAGCGGATGAGACGAAGCGCATCTTGTTGTCGTACCGTGAGCGAGGCGACGAGCCACTTGCCCGTGAGCACGACGCGGCGGCGTCCCACGCGCAGCGCTAGGCACTCGGTCTTTAGCCCCGGGAGGTAAATGCCGCGGACGGTCGCCAGCGTCGGGAAATCCCAGTCTTGTACGAGCACCTGGCATCGGCAACGTAGTCGCGACAGACTACGAAAGCGGACGTACCACAAGGTGGAGAACAACCACGAGACCGCTAAGGAACGCCCGCCACGAGTCGTGCAAAAGGTGATCGGGCGACCGGCCAAAGAGCGCTTGGCACCAAGTCGAGAAGGCAGGCAGGCCCAGCACCGCAAAGACGATGGCGCCGACAATGTACAGCCAGAAGAAGAAGATGCGGCACGCGTGGTGGCGCCACACGTGCGTGCGCAGCGCGAGCATCCAGCCGCCATACACTGCCTACCATACAATACTATTAATCTATCAACGAGGTAGAGAGGAAGCGGCGTACATCGCAGCGGGTCGAGTCTTGGAGCATCGTGTCGAGCACGGCAAAGAGAACGAGCGCGTTGAAGACGAGCGAGATGCCCCGGACCGCGGGGTACAGCTCAACGTACGAGACGTCGACGACGCCCGTGACCTACATCGTCCGTGACATCCTCGTCTTCTGCTTGGACACAGGCATCATACAGCGAGCGTCGAGGGCACAAAGCAGTTGTAGATGGAGGCAGCGACGACCATGACGAGCGGGGTGACGACGAGCATGACCGCCCACGAACCCTGCGACGACGACCCGATGTGCACCTCGTGGCGGAAAGCCTTGCCATCGTTCGCAGTGCCCGACACTAGGATGCGTTGGCGACGACGTATAAGCAGCGACGGAGCGTACCACTGCGATAGGTAGCAGGCTGGAGGGTCCCGTCCGCCGCCTTGGTCTCGACGGACCTGCTTCGCATGATGAAAGGTTCAAGGACCACTGTACACGCACCGAAAGCTCGCATGGCCGGCGGAAAACATAGTCCAGGACTCATGGAGCGCTGGGAAGACGGCAAGTCGAGCCAAGACGGCGCCGAGCACGAGCGAGACCATGGCAGCAATCACGCGCGCCGCCTAATGCGTCGCATGAGCGTTTGCATCTCGGTTGCACGTACGTTGGTGCTGCTTGTATCGTCTTGCAGCGTCGAGCGGCAAAGGAAGTTGAACGCGGTGCCATACAGCGGAATGTAGGCCGCCGCATGCGAGAGGCCGACCGGGTTGGTCTGGTGCACGATGACGTTGAGCACGAGGAGCAGGAGCGCAGCGAGGACGCGCATGTAGGGCTGGCGCAGCGAGCTTCCCGTTCGCGTCTCCTGGCGCTCGACGTACGTCGTCTTGCCCCGGCGCCGGACGACCCACGGGTCGACGGTCCAGAACCCCATTTTCCTCGCGACTGATGGAAAAATAGATTCCTTTGGCTATTTATTTTATGCGCACAATCAATACAGCATACATATACACTGTGAACCATGCGAAAATAAAATAAACCGACAAATGACAACCGCCCGCATAACCGATTGTGATGGAGACCGACGAGGACGCGCTCTTCCTCCTTGAACTCATCGTCGACAGCCTGAGCTTGGAAGGACTTGCTTGCTCTGCTGACCAAGCGCTCTCGATCGGCTTCCAGCTGCTTGCGTTCGACGTTGTCCTGCTGCATGACGTCCATCTCAAGGCTACCGAGCAGGCATGTCTTGTCCAGAAGGGCAAGTCGTGCATGTTCCGCATGCCCATGGACCGTTTCGTGGACGACGTCGCTGCGACGCCGCTCGCTCTCATGGTATTGAAGACCTCCAATACGACCTCAATGCAGCTCCTCGCGTTCACGTGCATCGACTTGCCGATGGTTTGTCGTCGTCGAAGGATGAACGACGGTCTCATGACACATAGCACAGCCGAGCCGCCACGCGCGCTCGGAACGCGCCGAGTGGGTGCACCTACAGCGTCAATGGGAGCTCCTCAACCACGCAGGCGACGTCGTGGGCTCCATTGGCGGCGGCGTCGTGCTGACGTGTCACGGACGAGCGCTGCTGGCGCACTTGCCGCCGTCGTTTGCTGCGACCATCGACACCATGGCCCCTGTCCTCGTGGCCCCCTCGCCAGAGAGCAAGCCAGATACCACTGGTGCCACGTGCTGCACAAAGACTGTCGCCACCGACGCCACCGATGCGCCCGTGGTGGAGACCTCCGAGCTTGCCATCCAATGCAACTTGGCACTCGAATCGGCCATCTCGCCAGTGGTGCTCGAGGTAAGATCCTAGCGCGGTAGGGTCACGCGTGCACCAATGTACTTGTAGTCGACGCCGTCGCCAGCAAAGCCCGCGAGCGACGCCATAGCTGAACTTCTGGAGCGACCACCATCGCCAGCGCTAATTGCTTCTATCAGCGATAGCATTCCTGGGCTCTTCGAGTCGCTAGCCCCACCGGCGCTCCTCTACCATTGCCCGCGACGCTCGAAGGAGGCGAGCGAGGATGCTGCGTGGGGCGACATGCACATTGGACCGGCGGACGATGGAGCACCGCAGCTGCGCTTCACCAAGCCAAGTCGCAACGACGAGCGGTTTGGCTGGTCCGACTAGTTGCGCCATGGGCCGACGTCCATCGTCTCGATCGTGGCACGTCGAGCGTCGTCGGAAGCGACCGAGGCCCTGCGAGTCGCCTCTCCTGCGGCCAGCAAACAAGCGTTGAACACGTATCCAAGGTGCTCGAATCTTCCATACACCGGCACACGCCACGTTCTTTAAATATATCTCCCACCACTGTAAACCATCACTTGGTCATTGTATGTACTTTTATAAAGTCTGTGAAATGCAAGAGGACCCCGGGGTACACGTCCGGAAACGTATCCGGACGCTCCTGGCGCCGAAGGTCCCGAACGCCATTTTGCAATCGTCTACCATGCGCTCGATCTTTGCTGCGCTCGCCGCGATGGCGGTAACGGCCGTCATGGCCTCGGACGTCGTCGTGCTCACGCCCGAGAACTTTGACGACGTCGTCGATGGCTCCAAGAACGTATTGGTCGAGTTTTACGCGCCGTGGTGCGGCCACTGCAAGCAGCTCGCGCCGACGTGGGAAACGGTCGCAACGTCCTTCAAGAACGTCGATGACGTCGTTGTCGCCAAGGTCGACGCCGACGAGCACCGCGACTTGGGCGAGAAGTTTGAAGTCACGGGCTTCCCGACGCTCAAGTTCTGGAACAAGGGTGCCAAGTACCCGGACACGTACACGAGCGGTCGTGGCGAAGACGACTTGGTATGACCTCGATCGCCGATCCCATGGAGGCTCATCGCCATGACTATTGTAGGTAGCCTTCTTGAACGAAAAGGCCGGCACGAACGTCCGCGTCGCCAAGCCCGTCTCGCACGTCGCCGCGTTGACCGAATCGGACTTTGGTATGTTGCGCTCTCAGTCGGGTTTGCCTCGCTCATGCGAAGCTCGATAGCGTCGATTGCGCAGGACCCGACGAAGCATGTTTTGGTTGAATTCTACGCGCCGTGGTGCGGCCACTGCAAGCAGCTCACGCCGACGTGGGAGTCGCTCGCCAACATTTACGCCGGCGAGGAGAACGTGGTGATTGCCAAGGTCGACGCAACGGCCACGGGCGACCTCGCGTCCAAGTTTGGCGTCTCGGGCTACCCGACGATCAAGTACTTTGGCACGGGCGCGTCCGAGGCTGAGGACTATGGCTTTGGCCGTGAACTCCAGGAGTTCGTGGACTTTGTCAACGAGAAGGCTGGCACGCAGCGCACGCCCGAGGGCGGCTTGCTCCCGACGGCCGGCCGCGTCGAGGCCATCGATGTCGTTGTCGGCGCCGACGGCGGTGTCTCCAAGACGACGCTCGAGTCGGTCGAGAAGATCGTCGAGGGCCTCTCGGGCGACGAGCTCAAGCACGGCAACTTGTACGTCAAGGCCATCAAGAAGATCCTCGCCAAGGGCTCGGCGTACGTGACGAAGGAGATTGCCCGCCTCGAGACCATGCTCAAGGACGACAACGTGACGCCGCAGAAGAAGACGCTCTTCCTCCTCCGCAAGAACATCCTCGAGGCGCTCAAGGCCGAGGCGTAAGCGCCCTACGACAGTCGATGCGATAAACAATCGAATCCTGCCACCAACTCTGACGACTTGTAGTACAGAAAAAAAGTGCAATATGGGGTGGAGACGTATTGTACGAAGGCCTGGCTTGTCCACCATCGACGCAGAATGCCCCTTTGGCCGTCTCCAGCGATTCTTGGGTGCAAGAAGGGACTACTAGCAATGCAAAACGCCCGTACATAATGTGCGTCGGTGGCCGTGGGCTCCATCCGAGTGAATGGCTGCGTTCCGGCCGTCTAGTTGGGACAGTTCACTGTATATTGCAGTGGTGATTGCACCTTCGTTCAGCATGGTCAAGATGCAACGGATGACAACAGCATCAAAGTACGGGATCCATCTGAGCGACGAGCCCCAGTGTGCGAGGACGTGAACACCGATGCGAGGTCCTGTGCCTACCCGCTACGCTGGTGCCACCCATGAGCGTCAAACTACATTGTTGTGCGCAACTGCACGCAATAAGCTCGAAGATTGACAACTTCGATCTTTGATTCACCGCTCAATACTTTAATCAAGATAGAGCCAGATGGCTCGGCGCAGAGATCAAGTGAAAACGAGTTTTGGACCTGGTGTGACAGTGTGCTGTGGTGCTGTGCGTGGTGCTGTGCGTGGTGCTGTGCGTGGTTGTGGGGACGTTGAATCTTCAAGTGACCCAGCACGACCGATACTCCACATTACGCATGATCGCGTTGGGTCATTTTGGGTCGGTCGTTGTTGTCATTGTGCACGTCCCGTACCCACGATCCGAAAGATACTAGTAGAGCGCTTTCGTGTCGATGCCCTTGCGACGTAATTGGTAGACTCTTGGATCTCACACCTCGATATGCAAAAGGCCGTGACGACAGATGCAGTCTCCGCAGCGTGCCACGTCATATTGTCCTCCCACATGGGCGACCCACACTGGGGCTCACGACGAAGGTCCAGTGACGACGGTGCATGCGCTGTCACAGTGTGCAAACTCGCAGCCTCGATGGGGAGATGCCTCAGAAGCACCTCGTCCGGCCTTTGCTTCCTAGTGTTGCGGCTTCTCGTTCTCTTGTGACAGACGAATCCAAAGTACTGCGACCATTTGTCTGACCGTCTTCTCTACGCACAAGACCCGTCCATGCAGCTTTCAGCTCACGGAAAATGAGGCATTCCCGTCGTCCCATCCGACTTTGGCGCCCTCGCAACGCATGGAATTTTCCCGCCAGCAGCAAGTGGTCCCAACGACCAACATTCTCTCTGAACATCGAACCTCGGCGAATGGTTGCTACCGGTAAAAGGTGGCTACTCGGCTCCAGTGGCTGGATGAGCCGGCTGGACGCGGTGGGATCAATTTGGTTGGATCAGTTTCATCCAGATTCCTTCCTCGTGGATCAGTCGGGGTTGCGTAGTGTGTGGGGGTGTGGTACGGTCGCTATTTGCATTTCCGGGGCATCGCATACGACCTGCGTAGTCCTTTCAGCTGCAGTACCGAACCGCCTGGTGCGGCGGAGAAGTAGCCGGTGAAATCGAAAGAGCTGAGTCCAAGCCACCGATCTAGTTGTCGCTGGTCCTCACGCACGACCAGATAGACGACTCGGGCACTGCTCCATTAACTTTGGTGGTCCGTCGCGGGTTCGTCGTTCGATGAGCATGTCTCTGCCATATCACGGCAAGCTCAGAATCCCGCAAGCCGACAAGTTGGGTGGGAACGACTTGGCCTTTGTATGGCTAACCACGACCGACATTCTGCGTCTCGCTTCGTGATTGGCTGAAATCACGTGTCAAAGGTCGGAGCGGCCGCAGTTGACGATTTGCCAGCATGGACGCATCCACTGTGACGTACCTCTTCGGCGGCATCGTCCTCGCACTCGCCGGCGTCTGCATCGCCAACTGCATCTACATGCGCCGCCATCCTGAGGCCAGCGGCCTCGGCGAAGCGCTCCTCAACCGCAAGTACATGCGATGCTAGCACAACCAGGCGACGGCTCATGCCACTGTGTACCTAGCTTTCTCGAGTTCATGCCGGGCCTCAACCGCCGTGACGTCGAAGAGCTGTACGAACGACCATGGCCATGCGAGCGTATAGCAATGACGATGGTGTATAGGACGCTCGACATGGAACGCTGGGAGTGCTCAGTATGCGCCTTTATGAACCTCGTGACCAAGCCGATCTGCAGCCTCTGCAGCACCCACCGAGGTATTGCCTCATGATGCCAAGTTGACGCATGCGTTTTCATGGCATACCATAGATTACCGCCTCATTGAGTTCTACTCGGACACGGTGCCGGCGCGCGAGCCCGAGAAGCCGTCGCGCTCGATGAGCCAACGCGCGTCCAAGTCGTTGCAGCGACAAACGTCCAAGTCATTCCAGCGGCTCTCGTCATTTTTCCAAAAAGTCATTTTACCAGAGGACTTGAACCCGCGCCAGCGAAGCGCTCGGTACTTGGCTTGGATCTCAACAGGGTCCAACTGTCTCTGGTTGTAGCATGCGCAAGCAGTGGACGCGGCAACTGGATTCCAAGGGCAACGTCGTCTGGGCGCGTCATTTCCTCGACACGGAAGAATGCCCCGCGTCCTTTGTGATCCAAACGGTTTGCCTGCTCTACATGACGTTAAGACGTCCTATGACGTCATTTGTAGGGTCCCATCCGCCACGAAGTCGGCGAGTCCAATGGTCCGGACGTCTCGGTGACAGTCATCATCCACGACTCGACGACGCTCGCGTCAGCCGAGACACCGGGCTTGGACGCGATCAAAACCATTGCCTGGATGCCCATCGAGGGCATCAATGCGGCGACAACTGTCACCGGTCTCCGTCTCTTGTCGTCAACCTGGTCGTCGCTGCTGCCGATTTCTCGTCTTCCGTTTTCGCTCAAATATGCGTGGTTTCTGCACCAAGTGTCGGACCTCATCGTGCCCTACGCCGACTTGTGCGTCCCGTCGATATCCCGCGGCGTCTCACGTCGCTGCGTAGACATATTCAAACCAAAGTCCAGCGCGCCCGTGTCTTTGAGGAGGCGCTCGAGAACCTCTTGGGCATCAGGGGCCAAGGGCTCTGCGCGATCATTCGCTACAACTTTGTCGGCGAGTCGGGCTTGGACGCCGGCGCGATCCAGCGCGAGTGGTATACGCTCGTGGCCCACGCGCTCTTGCACGAAGAGTCAGGACTCTTTACTATTTCCAACCGCGACGACAACTCGTACTTCATCAACCCCAACTCGGCCCACGACACGCGTCATCTGTGCGACCTGTCAACTTCTCGTTGTGAGAGACTGACGGTGCGTAGGGACGTGCAACTCGAGCACCTCGAGCTCTTCCGCGCGGCCGGTCGCTTCATCGGACGCGCGCTCCTGGACGGCCAAGTGCTGCCAATTCAGCTCAGCCCCGTTCTCTTCAAAGGTACTTTGCCGTTTGATACCGTGATATGTGCATGACAGCACCAATGTCTAGCGCTTTTGGGTGTTCCCATGACACTCGATGACATTGAGAGCCTCGACAAGACCACGTATACGAGGTATGGCACCATCACTAAGACCGCCTCGTATGTGGTGGTGTAGCTTGCAGTACATTGTGCAAAATGAGCACGTGGAAGACTTGGCGCTGACGTTCTCGGTGACGCAGTGCTATGGCGACCGCATGCTCGAAGTCGATTTGGTCGAGAACGGACACGACTTGGCCGTGACGGACGCCAATAAGCACGAGTACATTGCGCTCATGGTACGTTGATTGGCATTGTGTATACGAAGACAAGCGCGTCGGTAGGTCCGACACTTGCTCTTTGGCCGCGTCGAAACGCAGCTGCTGGCGCTCATCGAAGGCGTCTACGACGTCCTGCCCCCCGAGCTGCTTACGGCCTTTGACCACAAGGAGCTCGAGCTCATTCTCTGCGGTCTCCACGAAATCGATTTGGCCGACTGGCAGGCCAACACGGTCACATCGTCCAATCTCGACAACACGCCGGTTCTCGAGGTACAGTCGTTTTGCGTGGATGCCGGCGTGTCTCATACACTCGTTCTCTAGTGGTTCTGGAACATTGTGGCAAGCCTGCCCCAAGAAGACCAAGCCAAGCTCTTGCAGTATGCAACGGGCGCGTCGCGCGTGCCGGTCCAGGGCTTCAAGGGCTTGACGAGCTACGACGGCAAGATCTGCTACTTCACACTGAAAGGCGTCGCGTACAAGCAAGGCGTCTACCCGGTCGCGCACGCATGCTACAACCGCATCGACCTGCCGCTGTATCCAAGCGAAGAGCTTCTTGAAGACGCGCTCAAGACGCTCCTCCTCTCGGACCCGACGGGCTTCAACATCGAGTAGTCACATTCTCTCTGTATTTAAATGGTCTCAACGTGATGGGACATTGGTGTACATGCGGCGTCAGGATTCGAGTGGTCTCGCTTTGCATGTCTTCTGTGACCAATCTGTGTTCTCGCTCTGTGTGCAATCGTTCAAGTCCAACCGCAGTGTCGTCACGACAGCAGAAGGCTGCTCCAGTCATGTGGCGTCACGCACTCCAAGCTTATTATGCAACTGTTCGACAACGACAACCAGGCAGCATGCCGGTACCGTCCTCGACTGCGCTGTTGATGCAGAGCAAGCTATGCATACGCTCTACGTCTATCGAGATCGATGCGCGCCAGAGCTGTCGTCCAGCAGTACGGTATCTGTCCCAACGGTGCGTTTAGGGCTAGGGTAGGGTTCGGGTTCTATGCTCGGACGTTCTCTTGCTCAGAGGAGTCTGCGAGACGATTCGTGGACCATTGTGCTGGCATCAATAACAATCACTACACTAACTATACTATTGGTCAGCGCGATATTGGTATACTATTTACAAGAGAATTTGCTTGACTATCTTGTACTATATCGTTAGGAACTAGGCGGTGTTGACGGGCGTTTGAACGACGGCCTCGCGCATGGCGTTGCGAAACTTCTCGTTGCGGCGGAGTACCCAAAGGCGTGCGCAGAGGAGCAGCAAGATGAAAACGAGAGCGCCCGCGGTAATCGCAATCGCCAATTCGTAGTGATGCGCGACCGTCATGAGCGTGCGACCAAAGCACGCGTCGTACGACGGGTTCAAATACGTCCTTTCATAGATCGGGATCGAAAAGGACGGGCAGATGTTGCCCCCGGTCTTGATCTTGTACTCGGCACAGTCGGCGGTGGCGACGCAGTAGGCGCCTGTGGGCTTGGGTACGTCCATGGGGCACGTGGCATGAATCCAGCTCTGAAGTGCATTGGACTTGGTCGTAATGTTGGAGAGCGTGGCGCAGCCTCGGCAGAGATCGTAGAGATCTCTTTTGATGGCGGCCGCGCGCTGAATGGCCACCGAGTCGTTTATCGACACATTGTACACTGGATTCATCGGGTCGACGGCGGCGCAGAAGCTGTCGAGGGTCGTCGTTGCCGTCACCGTGACGTTGAATAAGGTCGTCGGGAGCGTCGAGAGGGTGCGGGCAATCTCGGCCGTCGCGTTCGGGTCGGGCCACATGCCCGGGTACAAGATGGTTTGCGTGAGAGGAAAGGCGCTACAGAAGCGGTGGCCTTCGCTCGCGCAGTACGCGTCCGCAAAAGCTCGCGCGGCCTTGAATGGGTACTGTCGGCTGTCGGAGTAGGACAGTGGATGCGACGGCACTTTGGACCTGTAGCCACTGAGTGAGTCACTGTAATTGAACTGGCGCGACGTGCCCGAGGCAAAGAACGCCTCCATGCGATGCTGGTACGTCGTGAGTGCGGGTGCGGCCTCGATCGCTCTCATCGTGAGAGGAATGGCGCTGACGGCGTAGCCCAAGAGCACACTGCAGCAAGCCACATTGGCAAAGAGAAAGAAGAGGCACGTCGAGTGCGACGGGTCGCCCCGCGTCCAAACGATATGCACGAGACCGAGGGCGGCAAAGCCTGTGGTGAAGATGTTCGTCACGACCATGGCGTCATGGGGCAGCGCGACGAGCTCAGCGTACATGGAGGCAGCGAGGGCGGCGATGATGGCGCCGAAGGCAACGACCGCAACAAAGGCGATGGCGACAGCGATTGTCGTGCGCGTCGGCTTGGGCATAGTATTGGGAAATGACTCAACTCTTGCTGACGTGTCCAGTGAGAAGGCTCGCCGGCCGGCATGCATTGGCCGGGATGTCCACCGCCTGTCTCTGTCTGACACGGACACTTTGTTGAATGGATTTAACGCGTTAAACTGACCAACCGGTTGTGCGGTGTTGCGGCAATGGAGATGACGCACACACAGAACGCCTCCGGTGAATACCTTGGGTGTCCCCAACCACCTAGGGCTGGCAGTCCTATCAGGTGCAATACGCTCTCCATCCGCCTTGAGCTCATGTACCAGCCATGTCTTGACAGTGTACGTTGTATTTCCACTCCTGGTACATGTACCCATAAGTTTGGGTGCTAGTAGTACAGTTTGCCGTCCACGAGAGACGACCGAATGTATGACGCAGGAGCAGTCGTTTGGGACCTCTGTGGAGCTGCAGGTTGTTGACACTCACGGATCTCTTTCGTAGTAAGCTTACGTGGCAGCATGCTATACCACGCTGGTGGTTGGCGACCTTGTGTCGACCAGCTGACGTCGCGTTGAAGCGCCACATTGAGAGGAATGGCGCTGATGGCGTAGCCTAAGAGCACGCTGCAGCATACCACATTGGCAAAAGCAAGAAGAGGCACAACGAGTGCGACGGGTCGCCACGCGTCCAAACTAGATGCACGAGGCCAACGACGGCAATGAAGATGGTGATATTGCTCGTCACGACCAACATCGCATTCGGCAGCGCGATGAGGTCAGCGTACATGGAGTCGGCGAGGGCGCAGGCGCCGAAGGCAGCGACCGCGACAATACGATGGCCACAGCGATCGTCGTGTGCGTCGGCTTGGGCATATTGGGAAATGACACCACGCTTCCTATTCTCGCTGTCGTTTGTCCAGTAAAGAAGGCTGGCCAACGTATTCATGGCATGTCACGGCCTCTCTGTGTCTGTAGGACATGGCGTTGAATGAATTTACCGCGTTCATCTGCAGAGCCGCTTGTCGCTGCGGCAAGAAGAAGAGTAATTTTGAGCTCTTGGGCAAGACCGACGCACTGAGCTCGTCTGAAGACGGGTCAAGAGACCTTCTCCAGACAAGCAACACGAGTCAGCGAAGCTTGGATGGAAGCCAAAAAGACAAGCTTTCGACTCTTGACACGCTTGACATCAGATTCAACCGACGACTTGATGTTTGCAGACGCGGTCTTGAAGTGCTCCGGGAGCGACGGCGCATTCGTGAGCGGACGTTTCGCAAGTTAGCGCGTCCACCAACCATGTTGGCAGTGACAACGTGTACACTCGGCGGTGCTCGATCGCATGGGACCGCCTGTGGCGTCAATGGAGGCGAGCAGCGAGGCTGATCTGTGCCGCACGGCAATCGCGGGTAGGACAATGGCTTGGGTTCGAGTCGTGTCTTCTGAGAGCCTTTCTCTCAAGAAGCCAAGTCTCCTGCAGGGTGTCGTCGATGACAGAACAGCAAGACGAGATTACGCTTGGATACTGTGGTTAGGATAACGTTGGTTAAACGAGTAGCAACAGCAGTTGGCAAAAAGAGTAGCAGCAGCGGCGCCGCCCCGAGTCCCGCAACGGCTGGCCCTTTACGAGGGAGCATCGCGCCCATCACCACACAAGTTCATGTGCCTGGCCGAAGCGATGCTCGGCTTGACTGCTGCTGCTCCTTTGACTGTGTAGAAATGCGCACTGATTGCCTAGGGAGAAACATGTTAACCGCTTTTACAATGCGCGAATAATCCCTTTTCATGGACTGCAGCGGAAAAGGGCCTGCGCCAGCGGGGATTGAACCTTGTGCCTTCCGCTTACGAAGCAAAAATCCACCGACTTGACAAAGGGGCGCCACGAGGAATGACCCGCAACGTGCCATGCGATGAGTTGAAAAAGCGAAAAGGAGCTTGATGACAGCACCGGTGCAGCGTATGGTCGCTTCGTGGATAGCCGCGAGCTAGCGTAAACGCTGCACGACCATCATGGGTACACTGTCCTCTCGGTCCTGCGACCGAGCACCGCAACCATGCAACATCTCGTGCGTCGTTTTCGGTGCAACCTTGTGCACGTGGCGTCGCGTTGATCGTCGTCGCGAAGCCTCCGCGATAGCGCGAGCGATAGTGCATGTCCCGCAAGCCTCTTACGCCAGTCAATCGCTGCTGTTGCAACCAAGACCTGCGTCACGGCTCTGTCCCGACGATGTCGATTCTTTGCAAGCTCGCCACGAAGCATCACCAACCCAAGGGTAACCCTCAACGCCCACTTGTCAACGCCTACCGCGCCATCATCAGCGGCAGCATCACATGTGTTGACCACCTGCGACGCAGCATGGCAAGGTCGACGCTCCACCCGTGCGTAACTGCTGGGCCACGTCCAATTGATTACCAAAAGCGTCTCAATATAGCAATATTTCCCTATTACGTCGTCCTAGAAGCATTGCTTGCGGTCTGGATTCTTGCATGAGATCGGATCGGTCCAGCGGAATCTGCTTCTGTGCAAGAGACGTCGATCGCGTCCCACTCTGGTGCGCATGCAGAAAGAGCCGCGTGTCTAATCTCGGCGCGTCGACGTCGCGCCGGTCGTGGGGTCGAGAGAGACACTTGCGAGAAATTGCCCTCCGTGCCAACCCGCCAATCACGCGCGCCGGGTCTCTACCGCTCGAAGCTCGCCAGTCGCGGACTTGGGCATCGATGGACTTTCCAGCATCATCGAACTCGCCGTCGGACGGCAGCAGCCGGACGCTGTGGTTCTTTGGCCTCTGCGCCTCCATCGTGCTCTTTGTGCTCTTCCTCGGTATCGTCAACCACTGCTACAACAAGCACTATGGCATGCCCCTGCCCGCGCCCGCCGTCACAAACCAAAAGTACGTCGTCGCTTCCACGCGTTGCCATGACGCAGACTCTCTGTCCTAGCTTCCACGAGTTTATGCCAGGCATCAAGCGCGGCGACGTCGAGGAGCTGTACGCGCTGGCGTTCCTGGCCATGTCCTTACTTAGCGCCGCTCCTCCGAATAGGCTTGCCAACGTCGAGCGCTGGGAGTGCTCCATCTGTGCATTCCAAAGCTTGCTTCAAAAACCCGCCTGTAGTCTCTGCGGCACACCAAGAGGTACGACCATAGACGTCACGGAGCGCGAGTGCGACGGTGCCCATAGACACGCGGCTCGTCGAGGTCTCGCCCGAGGTCGTCGTGCCGCGCATGACCCGCAGCAGCAGCGTGCTGCGTCGCTCGTCAATCGCCGGCAACTACCGCCATCGATCCAAGTCCACCTTGCCGCGACACTCGATGCGCCGGCTCTCGGTGCTCTTTCAAAAAGCCATCTTGCCCGACGACCTCAACGCCCGTCAGCGCAGCGCACGGTAGACCTCCTCTCGTACTACCTTGGATTCGATGCAAAAGCGTAGCATGCGCAAGCAGTGGAGCCGGCAAATCGACGGTGCCGGGCACGTCTCGTGGAAGCGTCACTTCATCGACTCGGAGGACTTTCCCGCTGCCTTTTTCGTGCAGCTGGTAGACTCGACACAACTGCAATATTCTGGGCTGATGTTCGATGGGCGTAGAACCCGAGCCAGGACGAGATGTTTGCCAACCACGAAGTCGAGCCGCTTGACGAGTGCGTCGTCATTACGCTGCGGGGCAGCATCGTCCGTGGGCTGGACAAGACCCAGGACGCCGATCGGCTGACCGAGCCCGAGTCGCCCGTCGACGAGAGCGACGCGGGGACTGGCGTATACAGCGAGCTCAAGAGCGCCAAGGCGATTGCGTGGCTCGACCTTGCGACGGGGGATCCCAACAAGACGGTGCTGGGCACGTCGATCTCCGAGGCGATGTGGAGCTCGCTCTTGCCGCTCACAAAGCTCGCCTTTACGCTCAAGTATGCGTGGTTCCTCCACCAAACCGCCGACCTCTTCGTGCCCTACGACGAGTTGTACGTAGCAATTTGCTGGTACAGCGAAATAGCAATGCTTGAGTAGATACATCAAAACCAAGGTCCACCGTTCCCGACTCTTTGAGGAAGCGCTCGAGAACCTTTTGCACCTGGACGGCCGCGCGCTCTGTGCCATTCTGCGCTTTCAGTTTGTCGGCGAGTCGGGCCTGGACGCCGGAGCGATCCAGCGCGAGTGGTACTGCGCCGTTCTGCGTCCTGTATCAAGGTATCAACCATTAGGTACATGCTCGTGGCGCAAGCAATGCTCTCGGAAACCTCGGGCATGTTTATCGAAGCCAACCGCGACGACCACTCGTTCTTTATCAACCCCAACTGCGCCGCCGACATGACGTACGACAGAAGGAATCACTCTGAGCCACGTGTTGACGCTTGTACTGTATCGTAGCGAGTCGGCGGTGCACTACCTCGATGCGTTCCGTGCTGCAGGACGCTTTATTGGCCGCGCTCTCCTCGACGGCCAAGTGCTCCCACTGCATTTGAGCCCCGTACTCTTTAAAGGTTCCTGCTTGCTACCACGTTCTAGCGTACGTATCATGTGGCGTAGCGCTGCTTGGCATGCCCTGCACGCTCGATGACATTGAGACGCTCGACAAGACGCTGTACAAGAGGTCTCTCCATTAGTGTTGCATGCCTCGACCATGTCTCTATGATGCTTAGTTTGCGCTACTTGCTCGACAACAAGCACGTCGACGAGTTGGCACTGACCTTCTCTGTGACTCAAGAACGCGCGGGGAAGCTTGTCGAGGTCGACCTCGTACCCCATGGCCAAGACGTGCCCGTGACGGACGCCAACAAACACGCGTACATTGAGCGCATGGTACTGTGATACTTTGTTGTATGTTGTGAAATATATATATTGGAGGTATGTAGATGCGGCATCTTCTCTTTGACCGAATCCAAGACCCATTGCACGCGCTCATTCAAGGCACGTACGACGTTGTGCCGCCCGAGCTGCTCCTTGTCTTTGACCACAAAGAGGTTTGTGTTGCTTCGACGGTTCCGTGACGTCTCACGATGACGTGGGTAGCTCGAGCTCATTCTCTGCGGCCAGAGCGATATTGATGTCGACGATTGGGAGACAAGCACGGTCACGTCGTCGAATTTGAAGAATTCAGCCGTCCTCGAGGTATGCGCCCTGCAAGGTGCAGCCAAGACTCATGACGCGTAGTGGTTCTGGAAACTGGTGCGTGCGCTCTCGTCCGCCGACCAAGCCAAGCTCCTGCAGTACGCGACCGGTTCATCCCGCGTGCCGGTCCAAGGCTTCCAAGGTACGTTGCCTCTAGACACAGTGTTGGGATTCATGCGGGTGGTGGTAGGCTTGACGAGCTACGACGGAAAGATTTGCTATTTTACGCTCAAAGGCGTGCCGTACACGTTGGGCGCGTACCCTGTAGCCCATGCATGCTACAACCGCATCGACCTTCCGTTGTACCCGACGCAGGAGCTGTTAGATGACGCTGTCCGGACACTCCTGCTCTCGGACCCGACCGGCTTCAACATGCAATAAATGTTGAGTCGTCGCCCATAGACGATCACGTCCTGTACCCTACTTATTCCGCGACTGCAGCTAACACTCTTGCCCATACGTGTCTTGTGTGCCTCGCCACTGCGTTGTTGAATGCATGTTGGGGATTGCAATCTCTGTGACCCATCCTCTTCCCCTGCTTGTGGATCGATCAACGCTCACACGCTGAAAAAGCTCATGTCCGCGAGGCCAGTTGCGCGTCGCCCTCGCCCATGGCGCCGATGCCAGGAGCGCTGCCGACGCGCCTACCTCGATGCCATGACCCTTTTCCATGGGCCATATGGGTCCGCGTCGCGATCCCGTGTCGACGGACGCCACGACGACGCCTGACGTGGGGTGCTCGGCCGCCGGCGTCGCGCTTGCCGTTTCGAATTTCCCACGCTTTTGTCACGTCCGGATATTATCCGGATATTCGCGGCGACACAGCTTTTAGTGTGTGGTGTGTTGGGTGGAGAAACCTTCATTTTCTAATACGCTCGGAGCGCATGGAGGGCCTCCCGGCAGTCGAGCCCGTCGAGCTGCGGGACCTCGTGGCACGCTGCGTGGACAAGAGCTACGAGAACTTCCGCGGCCTCGCGCATGGCCTCGGCGGCGTGGCCAAGGCCGAGGAGCGCCGGGAGCAGGCGCTCAAGCACCTCGCCGACACGCGGAGCCTCTTTGAGAAGCTGCTCGTGCTCACGCGCTGGTCGGTGCAGAGCCCGCTCGCCGCGCAGTGCGCCGAGCTGCTCAAGACGGCCAAGCTCTTTACGGACCAGCTCAACGAGTCGAACGACCGACTCTTCTTTCTGCACGCGGATTTGAACCGCGCCAAGGAGCGCACGTACGACCTCGCGACCGCGATTGACGTGCTCTACGGCGGCACGTACCCGCGCCTGCCCAAGCTCATTAGCTACGCGATGCATCCCAAGGAGATGCCCGACGTCGACGAGGACAAGGCGATCCAGGAAATGGACGACATCATTCGCTTCCGACTCATTGAAGAGGAGATTCCGTCGACGTTTACGCGCATCGACGTGGACGGTGGGTTTGTGATTGCACACGTTGAAGGCGAGTTTGAGATTGTCTTTACGCTCAACGGCAAGGAGTCGGACAGCCTCTGGCGGCTCGTCGCGATCAACACGGTGCTCACGGACGCGACAGCGACCGAAAAGTACAAGACGCTCGCCAGCACCAACACGCTGCGCATCATCAAGGCGAACGCGCCGACCGAGCTCCACTACATGCACATGCGCAACCTCGTGCAGAAATGCATGAACAAGTCGAACGCGCCGTTCGTGGCGGCCTGCGACATCATGCGCGACTTTTGCTGCTCGCTCTCGCTGCAGATCCTCGTTGCTCAAGGCCACCTCCTCACCGACTCGCGCTGGAAGAGCAGCAACGTCGAGTTTGTCTACCACGCCGACAAGCAAGTACTCGACATTTGCTACTGGTCGTCGTTCTGCCGCCCGGCCGTGCTCACGACCGAAGCCGCGCAGCTCGCGGCCGAGATGGCCGACAAGTTTAAAAAACCCGAGTCCGAGTCGCTGCCTCCGTACCCGACAGCGAGCCTCTGCGTGCGTCTCTATTCGGACCCAAAGCACCACGACCTCCTCTCGCTCTCACTGCACCCGCCGCCAGCCCCCGAGCTCCGCGCGTCGCTCTCGGACGCGCTCGTCGTGCCGCGCAACATGTATGGGCTCAGCGCCGAGGCCTTCCTCATGGGCGCGATGCGCATGCACGTGGCGTCGGCGCTCTTTTGTCTCGAGCGCCACCTCGTGCTGGGCACGGGCACGTCGACGCCGCTGCACTTGACGACCAGCGAAGCCGTCCACATTGTTCGCACCGAGCGAAGCGTGCACATTGCCCGCGCCGACTCGGGCGGCCTCGCGCAGTACCAGCTCGAGCTTTCGTTTGACGTGCGCACGGGGCTCTTTACGGCCGCGTGCGTGGCGGCGTCCAAGAGCCCGCTCGTCGATGGCGTCGTGCGCGCTCTCGAGGCGTTGCTGCAGCGCAGCGTCAAGGCGCAGCTCGGCCCGACCGGCTTTAGCTTGGCGATCGACGATTTGAAGGCTGTCGCGGACGCGGTGAGCGCGTGTCTCCGCGAGATGCTCGCCTACGAGATCTCGGAGGTCGCGTCGAGCTTTGCCAACATTGAAGTGCACCGCCACGTCTCGGTCAACTGGGACCGGTACATTGCGTTTCGCCGGCAGCAGGGCAACAACGTCGACGCGCTCTCGATCTCGCCGAACGCGCTCTTTTTCCAAATTGTGCGCAACAAGGAGTCGTGTGGGTACCTCGTGGTCGAGATTGACCGCGAGGCCGAGTACGAGAGCTCGACCGACGTCCACTACGTCGAGAACGCCGACGACTGGATCCGCGTACCGGCGTTTTCGCTATTGCAGCTGAGCTCGTCGGCCGGCGCGCCGAGCGCGGTGCAGTTTTTCCAGCGGTTTCCCGCGTTCCGCAAGGACGCGTTGGCGCCCATGATGCCGCCGCCGACCAAGAAGCAAAAGACGGCTGCGAGTACACCGCCGCTCGCGCCGCTCTTCCTCCACGTCGTGAGCTTGTGCCACGAGCGTATCCAGCTGCAGCACTACGTCAACTTTGCCAAGCGCCGACGCGTGCGCATTCGGTATGCGGGCCAAGGCGGCACGGCCTCGTCAAGCCACCAAAGCGGCGAGCAGATCGTGTCGTTCCCGTTTCCCGAGCGCGTGTCGTCGGCGCCGATGGAGATCCGCGCGGTGCATGGGCACTTGCGCAAATGCGGCGGGTTTGAAATGTGCGTGCAATTAGCCTCGCCGCCGTTCAAGTTTCTCATTCCCGACGACTTTTTCGGCACAATGCACCACGGCGACCACCACGCGCTGCCGAACACGAACCTCATCTTCCGGTACCCGCCAACGTCCAAGCTGCAGCCCGACAACCCCCTCGAGACTTTTATCGCTGACCTCCTCATGAACGTGAAACCCATGTGCGAGTTTGGCGTCAAGCTCGAAAAGACGTTGGGGAGTCTCGGCCGGTACGGCCCGGACGTGGACGTGCGCGACCACTTTATCGTCGAGCGCGCCGACCCATTCTCGATCGTGCTCGCGTGTCGCACGAGCAACCCGAAGCGGTGCGTCGCTGCGGGATCGACGCCGGACGACACGATCACGTACCGGATCACGGTGCAGTTCAAGCCCAAAGGCGGCTTCATCCTCACGAGCAGCCACCGCGGCGAGCACCCGCTCTTGCAGTTCATCCAGGCCGCGCTCAACGTCCACAACGACTCTGCGCAGCTGCTCGAGGCGCTCGAGCGCACAACGATCCCGCTCGCGATCCTCTCGAGTGTCGTGAGCTCGCAAGTGATCTCGGCCAAGTGCTACCGGCACGACTCGGCCCCGGTACATATATACAAGCGCCAGCGAGACGCTCATGACATGTGTAGAGGCGAGAGGGCGGCGGTGGCAGTCTTGGCGGCAAAAAGGGCGGCGGCAAGGGCCTCCGGTTCGGGTACAAGGGCAAGCTCCCGGGCGAAGAAAAGGGGTACTACGCCGAGCGCACGTATGGCGGCGACGACCGATCGTTTATGCCGGCCGACCTGCTTTTGATCCCGCGGTCGCAAAACCACATTCGCCTCACGTACGCCGACCGCTGCGGCATCGACGTCTTCTTCATGGAGGTACACGCTCCTCCTCAGGCATGCTCATACATGGAGGCTAGAACGAGACGGTGACGATCAAGAGCGCGCCGTGCGGTGCCCGTGTCCCAAGCTGCGCGGTCGACGGCGGTCTCTCGGTGTCCCACGCCACCTTTGGCGAGCGCCTCCGCAACCTCGTCTTTCCCGAAATGGCTTCGTTGTAGGCACTTCACCACTGCATATAATATACAAGACGACGGTTAACTTACACTCACTACTGCGAACCTACTGGATGTTGAAGCCCGTCGGGTCCGAGAGCAAGAGCATCTTGATGGCGTCCTCGAGGAGCTCCTTCTTGGGGTAGATGGGCAGGTCGAGCCGGTTGTAGCATGCGTGTGCGACTGGGTACATGCCCGGTACGTACGGCAGACCCTTCAGAGTGAAGTAGCAGATCTTGCCGTCGTAGCTCGTCAAGCCCTTGAAGCCCTGAACCGGCACGCGCGCCGAGCCCGTGGCGAATTGCAGCAAGCGCGCCTTCTCGTCGCCACTGAGTCCGTCGAGGATGTCCCAAAACCACTAGATTTTAGCATGAGCTCGAAAGTATCAAGTCAACAATACGTACGGTGACGACGGGGACGGTCTCGAGGTTGGTCGAGAGGACCGTGTTGGCCTTCCAGTCGGCCACGTCAATGTCGGTGAGGCCGCAGAGGATGAGCTCGAGCTCCTTGTGGTCGAATGGCACGAGGAGCTCGGCGGGCAGGATGTCGTGGATGCCTTGGACAAGCGCCAACAGCGGCCCCTCGACGCGCTCAAAGAGGAGGTGCCGGACCATGCGGTCGACGTACTCGTACTTGGTGGCGTCCGTCACGAGCAGCTGCGACCCGTTCGGCACGAGGTCGACCTCGACAACACGTCCGTGGGCGTCGCACGCGGTCACCGAGAAGGTCAGCGTGAGGTCTTCGACGCGGTCCGTCTCGAGAATGTAGCGCAAGCTAGCGAGCAGATGAGCGATTGCGCAGCAACGCCATTGAGCTCTACCTCTTGTAGACCGTCGCATCAAGGCTCTCGACGTCGTCTATGGTCAGCGGCGTACCGAGGATGCTTTTGAACAGCGTCGGGTTCAAATGCAGCGGGAGCACTTGGCCGTCGAGGAGCGCGCGCCCAATGAAGCGGCCGGCCGCGCGGCACGCATCGTTGTGGCTCATCGACTGCGTAAACCTAATCCCATCGACTATGAGACAGGTACTCGATACAAAAGAATGGTACGGGAACGCAGGGTTGGGGTTGAGGATGTACGAGTGGTCGTCGCGGTTGGCCGAGACAAAGAGACCGGCCTGCGGCGACAGCAACGCTTGGGCCACGAGCATGTACCACTCGCGCTGGACCGCACCGGCGTCGAGACCCTTCTCTTCCGTGAACTGGAGCCGAACGATCGCGCAGAGCTCAAACGACTTGAGATGCAAGAGGTTCTCGAGCGCCTCTTCGAAGACGCGGTCGCGGAGCGCGCGCATTTGAATGTAGCCAATCTCATACGGCAACACGAGGTCGGCCACTTGGTGGAGGAACCACGCATACTTGGCCGTGAAGGGCACCTTGGTCAGCATGTGCAGCGACGGCCAGAGACCCGACGCGAGGACGTCGCCCGTGACGAGTCGCGACGCATCGACGGCTTCGATCGGCGAATATACGAGCCGCTTGGAGGATAGCTGCGACGCCGACTCGAGCGTCGGTACCGCCGACTCGGCATCTTCGAGCACAGGCGACATGAGCTTGACGCGCAGCGTATCGAGTGCCGACGCGCCGTCGTCATTGGCGTCGTCGGCGTCGATATGAATGACGAACGCCGGCGGCACGTGGTTGATATCGAGACACCGCCGGCGCCAGTACGGCTGGCCGTGGATATCGACGTGGCGCGACCACTCCTTGCGCATGCTATGGGATAGGATATGGTGAGCTCGAGGCGGCGAGATATGGGTATCTCTACCGGGCCGAGCGCTGGCGGGCCGTCAAGTCTTCGGGCAGCACCATCGTCTTGGTGAAGAAGCCCGAGAGGCGCGGGTTGCCGCTCGGCGTGAGCATGCGGTTCTTGCTCGCCTGGCGAAAGAGCAGCGACGGGTTACTCCGCTGCTTGGAGAGCCGGGTCTGGCTCGACTGCCGCGCGAGCTCGGCGCGGTAGCTCTTGTTGAAGTGCTCGATTTCCGTTGACGGTTCGACGAACCGCGAGTCTATGGCGTAGCTTAGCCACCAAGCAATTGTCAAGCCGCGTCATTGACCCACCTTTTTTCGCGCCGCAGAGGCAGCACACGGGGCGGTCGACGACGTTGAGGAAGGCGCAGACCGGGCACTCCCACCGGTCCACATCCAAAAGCCTAGTCACCAGCATGAGCGCCTCGTGAGCTGCGATCGTCGTACAAGTCTTCGACATCGCCGCGTTTGAGCCCCGGCATAAAGTTGCTCAAGCTAGTCGCGCCACGTCAGCACCCTCAATGTCATTTGCAGTCGTACATGGGCTGGTGGAGCGGGTAGTGACCATCAAGAGCGCTCATGCGGTTGCAGTACTTGGCGAGGCCGCCGAGGCAGAGGAAGAGCACGGCAATGCTCAAGACAAAGAGAATCTCGCTCGACGTCTGCGCGTCCATCGTAGAATCTGCGGTCTTGTCAAATGCAAACTGAGTCGGCGTGCAAGGCAGCACCACTCTCATCGCCCTCGCATGGGCGCAAGTCCAGTGCGCGTGCCACTTGGCCAAGTACTGTGGATGAGCTGACCATACAAACCGCGAGTTGGACGCTCGCGACACGGTGGCTGCGAAAGTCGCCGTCGGACCATGTGGCAAATGACTGCGAGTTTCTATGCAGTGGGCCACGGCCGCCATTACTTTTTTAGATATTTTTTGTGGCATACAAACCTTAGCATAAAGATATGAAAACAATAAAAGATTCGTGGGTGCATGGCGATCGTAAGGCAAGAGACTTGCGGTTCGAAGCATGGCGGAATGGGCGTATCTGGCGACGCTGGTCCCACCGACGTACCCATGCGTGCGCCGGGCGACCACCGGCCGCATGGAGCTTGATGGGCGCCTCAACAAGCGCGACTGGGCGCATGCGCCGTGGACCGCCGCCTTTGTCGACATTGAGGGCCCGGCGCGCAAGGTACCGGATGCGCTATCATGGACAGGTGGCAAAAGCATGGTTAGCCCAACCCGGAAATGACGACGCGCGTCAAGATGATGTGGGACGACGACTACCTCTACGTGGGCGCGGCCATGGAGGAGACCAAGGTCTGGGGCACGTTCACAGTCAAGAACACAGTCATGTACCACGAGAACGACTTTGAGATCTTCATCGACCCGGACGGAAGCCACCACAACTACTAGTACATCCAAGACGACGACAAAGCAACCGCAGCTTACCGAGCCGTGTAGCGAGATGGAGATGAACTGCCTCAATACGATCTGGGAGCTCGTGCTACGCCGGCCGTACAAGGACGGCCATGACATTGAGAACCCGCGCAACCTCGTCGACATTCGGTCGGCCGTGCACATTGACGGCGCCGCCAACGACCCGTCCGTAACATGCCGCAGCTGGAGTCTCGAGGTCGCGCTACCACTCGCAGAGCTCGCTATCTTCGACGAGCGCCAGGCCCGACAGGTCGTTTCTTAGTCGCCGAACACCGAAAAAACACATGTGTAGGTGCAAGTGGGGGACACATGGCGCATGAACTTCTCCCGCGTCCACTACGATCTCAGTGTTGAGAATGTCAATGGCCAGCCCACGGTACGCCAGTCGCACGGGCGCCGGTTGCGACTCGTAATGGTACCTAGTACGTCAAGGTCCCCGGTCGTCGCGAGTACAACTTTGTCTGGTCGCCCACCGGTGTGATCGATATCCATCGTCCGGAAAAGTGGGCGCTCGTGCGCTTCCTCGGCACATGCGCTGTCGACCCCGCGACGTGGCCAGCCACCGAGTGCGTCACCGCAACGCGTCGACAGACTCTGGCTGACGACGTCGCGTAGGCGCGCCTTGCTGCAAGCGCTCTCCGATGAAGATGTCTTGAACGCAGTCTACTATGCCCAGCGCCAGTACCACGCGGTCCACGCCACGTACGCGCCGTCGCTCGATGTTTTGTTTGGCGATGCGACGCCGCCCCGCGTGACGCTCGACGTACGAGTCATGGACGGGAATGGTCGAGCCAACGGCGTGTGTAGGTGGCCGACGACAAGTGCTCGTACACGCTCTCGTATGTGGACGCGGCGGGCGGCAAGCATGGCATGACGCACGATGCCAAGTACACTCGATCTTGATGGAGGGTCGTCGCGACGTTCGTGGACGGGCCATAACAGCCGGAAGACTAGCCATTTTGGCTTGTGTAATACAGACAACTTGACCAGCGACGCGATGGCGTGGTGTGTGCCAGTGGGCGTCGCTAGGGATGCATTTGCAAAGCTCATCCTGGGCGAAGCGGTTTGGCGACTGCGCCGTTGGTGGGCATCGTGACCTCGCTCCGTGTGTCGTCGGGCAGCATCTTGGACCACCACCGTTCTCGCAACGTCGCAGAACGTCGACCTCTCTCTCAACACATATGACATGGGCTCCCACATGGTCGCGCTACCCATCTGACACAGCAAGCTGCAAACACGACAAAGACCCAGTTCTCACAAGTCTTGCTGTTGCGGACGATTGTTCTGGACGCCGTTCGCCTGGCGCTGCAAGAGAAATGGAAGGGGTGACACCTTGGAGGTCGTCGGGTACTGTCAGCGGTACAGTGCCTCTGCAACCAGCGCTAAAGCTCACGCGCCCTTGACGTATCGTATCAGCTCTCTAGTTCGAGGAACTTCTTGGTCCGACCTGTCTCGCCATGACCAGTTCTTCGTAGACTCTCAGCGTTGATCGCCATGCACTCAAGTCGACTCCGCACCCGCCGTCTCGCTTTCGTATTGTGGTATTGGCGCATGCTTTTGTACAGGCAATAGACTCACTCCAACAACAACAAGGAACATCGCAGGAGGTCGTTGGACTGCGACTGCAAACCACTGCCAACACCGAAAAGGATCATGTGACGTAGAGCGTTCGTGGTTGGTAATAAGACCCAAGCAGATATTGTGATTTGCACGCTGTCGGTCACCACGTCGCTCGTCCCGACGACACACGCTGTTGCGGTCGTGGGACGTTTGTGCCCCAAATACGACGCGTGCGTCATGACGCAAGCAGACGGATCTGCCGTCACAAGCGCCATATTCGATGGACCGTTGGCTCGTGGATCTTGGGATGGTGGATCGCGATGGGTCCCCAAATGTCGAACAAGTCGCATGACAACAGAGCACACGACGTGGCGCACGCCCAGCAATGAAACCGATTCTTCTGTCGACAAAGGTTTCTGCGAGTGCAAGTTGTATACACCACGCCGCATCAAGCTATCTTTGCGGCTTTATCGGAACAATAGCCTACTCGTCCATACAAGCTTTGCGTTGTGTATATCCTGGACAAGATACGACGGGTCACGAGGGATCCCTGCGTGCGGGTACCTCAGTGCTCAATTTCGACCGCCGTCAGCAACCATGCGTCTCGCCTTTGCTCTGTTTGCTGCCGCTGTCGTTGGTGCCTCCACGCCCACGTCCGATACGTGCCCTTCGATCCAGCGCGGGTACGACTACCCCGGCAACGACCTCGACAACGTCCAGGTCTCGGGGTCGGACCAGGACAAGGCAGACGCCTGCTGCAAGGCTTGCACGAAAGAGATCAGCTGCGCTGGCTGGGTCATCAGCGGCAGCAAATGCTACCTCAAGAACAAGCTGGTGGGC